TTGAGAAAACGTCTCTTGCAGATTATAGGGGAGATGCGGGGACCAAGAACCATGATATTTAATTTTTCCTGAAGGGCCTCTGAATGCCAGAAAAGGGTCCCTAGTTCGACTCCTCTTGGCGGTTGTGGCCAAACTTTTGCAAATTCAGATTGGACGTTTCCAAAATGGTGTTTTTTTCGGGGGACGCCAAAAAAATGGGTTTGATTGTCTCTGGTTGGTTCTAACTCATTTTGCTGTCGAATTTTGGATCAAACACACTGCAGCTCGAAATGCATTTGTTACCACGGGAATCGAACTACGGACCTCCTTTTCTGGTATTCAGAGGGCCGTTAGGAAAAATTGAACATGGTTCTGTGGTTCCCGCATCTGTCCCTATATCATGCAGAAGACCGTTTTCAAAAAGCTTGTCACGCCCTGAAAGACCTTCCTCGTAAGTTTACATTGCCTTGCAATCCATCGATTTATAATTCTCCGAATCTTCCGCGATGGTCACATCTAATTTCTAGGCAATTTTTGACACGAGATCTAAATATGTGCTTTTATGAAGCTTGCTTCGAGTAGAGAACTTCAAGGAAGATAGCCTTCTGTGTGCAGATATTTTATATCAACCTGAAAACCCCATTTTTCGCAAGGCGTGAAAATGCACAATTTTAGGGCATGGAAGTACAACGATTACTTTTCATAACACTCTTGTCATTAGGGGGACATTAAAAAAGGGCCGATGATAGATTTAACTAGACGTAAGCCCAGAGGAAGGGAAAAGTGTCACGGAAACCCAAATTGCCCACATCCTCCCACAAGCCCTTCCCATCCTTGAGGGTTAGTCCCAAGCAGAGTATTTGGCGCACATACTCACATGTCCCCCTGTCTCCCTCCCCAATGAAATGAGCGCCTCTTTAACATAATTTTAAGAATAATAAGGAAGCCCCTCAGCTCTTCATTACATCACTTGCTGAAATTACTTGAGAAAAAAATCCGTGCACTTTGCATAAGAAATAGCAAATGATATTCTACAGAAATCTTACTCTAGACAAAATAATCTATAAAAATCTGTTTGAGGAACGTCGATTTTTAGCTCCAAAGGAACGGCGCAGAGCGACCGCGACTCTACCATTACAATTTCTCAGTGTAATTTTGTAACCACCAAAATCCTGAAACTAGGAATTTCTGCAGACCATATATCCCTCGTGGAATCATATATGAGGCAATTTCTGTAAGGAACGAAGCTTGGTAAAGTGGAAAGTGGCGCCACTGAAACATCGTCTGGTGGTTAAATACCGGGATCGAATCTTCCTCAAGCCAATAAGTCTCACACCCAACCGGAGCTGTCTAATTGAAACCTGCTACATTTAAGATGATAAAATACTGAATTGTTCATCAGTTGGGCCTCCGCAACTCATCTTTTGGGTAAAACCTCATTTAAGACGCCACTACCATTCTGAACAAGAGGAAAATGCATGGCGCATTCCACAATGGACTAAACAAAGCCGAGCCTTCATTTTTTTTTGCTCAAGGATCATCAAATAATAAATAAGAAGTAATTGCGTTTATAAAAATAGCCATTGCTTGAGCAACACCCGAGCACTGGCCGATAACTCATGCGCTTAGCCCTCATCTTACAAATTGATGCTCCCACTCGTGACAAATCTCACCAGATACTACTCTAATAACAAATCGATAAATCTCCTGGACAACAGCCAACGCGCATTAACTCGCAATTTAAGCTGTGCTTTTATCAACAATATTGAATAATTTACGAATAAAATAGATATTGCGATTAATAAGTCACCTAAAGGCTACTTCTGCTCCAGAAATGCTAATAAGTCAGATTACCAGTATCAGGGATTACTGAAAAGGAGGAGCAGTGAGAGCGGATGGAGCGCGATGTCTCCTCCATCCAGCATACCCGTGGCATGTGTCTCGCTCCGGTCCAATCCCCCTCTAGTATCTCTGCGTCTCCGATCCTTTCTCTCGTATCGATTTTCAGGAGTATTACCTGAACTGTGCTGTTCATTACTGACAGTACGTACTTAATTATTCGAGCATAATCTAGCAAATAGTTAGTTGTTGAATCCGCATTTATCCGGCAAATCCACAAGTTCAGTCGTTTTGGTTTTTCAACTTTCCAACTTACGCTGCAATTTCACCCTCATAAGCGATTATTTATAGCCCTGCCCGCTGATCACTTTTTCACACGATAAAAATGACTTTGCAATTTTGAATCGATATAATTTAGCTTAAATTGCATGCGTAACTGCAAGTGCTTTTACGTAGTTGAATTATCAATTAAATATTCAGAATGTACGTTTAATATCGAAGGTGTGATGAGACTGGTTGGTCCCCAATCTGCGACCCCCCGTAGCCTCAGTTCCAGACCTCCCACGACGCCATTTCTCTCGCACACTCCTCGTCCCTCAGTTGCTCTCACCGAACTGGCCCATTCCTCCTGCTCGTAACTACATCATCCCATATCTTTTTCTACGATTCACCTTATCGGACTTTATCAACACTTGATAGTACATTGATGGGAATCCCCCGAGAACGCATTTTTTCAGTTTTATTTTCGCAGTGTCTGTAACTCTTTCGCACGTGATTTCATTGCGCAGCGCTCTGCTTCTCTGACGCTCGCTCTTCAATCAATTTGGCAGTTACAATTCTTGGAGTAACTGTAGTCGCCATATTTATAACCTCTAATAAATCTGCACATGTGTACTACGAAACACGAAGTTTATTAGGAGAGAATGAGCTATGTAAAAAACCTCCTGACGCTCTTTGGTTGTATTTTTTATCAAAACAATTTATATTTTACCAATTAAAGCTTTGTTTAACTTTTCTAAGCTCTTCCAGAAGTGAGGAACATTTCAAAACTCATATTGTTAATGATTATCTTATGCTCACTATGATTTGAACTGAAAATTCTCGGTTCCTTGAAATAGCAGCTGGAAAAAATGGAAGAAATTCATTTTGTGTTGAGTATCTCTCAAAATGATATGCTGTGAAATATTATTCATTATACGAGAGAAACTATACGAAACCAAAATTCATTGGGCTTAACGGCGAGCTAAAAACTGGTATATTCTGGCTGCACTTTTCGTTTGGTATATTCTGGCTGTATCCATGCCCATGTTCCACTTTCAGTAATCTGATTGTTTTTTCATATATTTTGGCTGTTTTTTCTTCCTGACCCTACTATACTGTATTACTGGGAGCATAGTTTGTTTGAGACATTTATTTATTGTTTTTGAAAATATTAAACAGTTATGAATAAATAAAATGTGTTTATTGTTTGAATTTCTGAGTTACTTTTGGAAATGGCTGACGTTTTGAAAGCTAAATCAATGAGAATTGTTTGTGATTACATGAATTAAAACTAAAATTCTTCCGTTATTTGTAAGCCCAGGTAGAGGAAAATTGGAATGCATTTATTTCTCGCCATATTACCATTCGATATTACGTGCTCCTAAAGAAATTGTAATTTTACTAAGTCTATCCGACGTAATTTGAATGTCGTTGAAAAGAGAAGGAGTGATTAAAATGTTTTTTGCTATAGCTGTATATATTTTTATGGTATATTTCTTGGGACCAATTAATGCATTGTTACTGATTGATTGATTCGCGTGGAAACCCAAGTTTATGTCGGGAATAATGAACATTCGAAAACTCATTGTTAAGACGATTTTGTGTCTAAAATATTTCTTTCTAAAATTCCTCTCCTGTGAAAAATAGAGTATTGTGACTTTGTGCTTGATTACCAATCGAACCATTCGATATGCATGCTGTGAATGATGTAACTAATTGTACGAATGATCACACTTTCAGAGAGGGGCCATCATCACATGAACACTTTTTCTTCGACAGATCATTTTGAAGCTTTGTGATTTCTTGAATCGTCCACGTATGAGTTTCTACGAGTAACGAACTGAATTATATAGTTTGGAGATTACCTCTACTGAATCAGGTTAGTCTTGACTCCCCTTTTTATTTTTATTTCATTTATTTGATAAAGTATGACAAATACGCCACTGTTCGTCCAAATCGTGCCGTACCAACCACTAACATATTCTTGTCGGGACCTCTAGGCAGCTCTATTATACTTTGTCAGCAACTAAAATGTTATAGAAATTCCCTACCACTTGCATACTCCTTTGTCGCTTCAATTGAATGCGTTGTGGCTCGGGCTCCTTCCCTAAAAGATTTCTATTATGGAATTGAGAATTTTCTGTGGTGTTAAGAATCGTTAGAAACCTTATATAAAGTCTTCACCATACTGAAAGCTGTCCAGGGAGCAATAACATGTGCCAGAAAATGTTAAGGTTCCGATGAAAGTGTTAGAGCGTCTCTGCTACAATCTTTTCAAATCGGACAACCCTGGAAATCGCTCTTTTATCTAACCTTCTTAGATACCTGTGGTAATTAGGCATTGGCCTAGTAACTTACCAACTCAAAAACCTTCATATGTTAGACGCTTATTGCATTGATGGCTGAAGTTTGTCGTTTGGAATTTCCCGCACACTTGCAAACAGGCTTTCGCGTTAGGACTCAAAATCGTGTTTGGCATTTGCTATGGGTTTACAGACTACTTGACTTTTCCTCAACGGTCCTGGCGCGAAAGGCTAGAGCACAGACGAGTAGAGAACGGGTGAATAGCCTGGGAGTATGCCTTGGAGAAAAGAGGGACCCGCGAGAGAGCGCAGAGGCAGTTTGAAGGACTGTGTTCAGGTAGTCCGCTGACCTGCTGTGATGCTGTATTGTATGGGCGTCAGACTCGGCGATTGTGCAATCGCGACAGCGACGGCACCCCCAACGCAAATGATACCGATCAATAACGACGCGCCAAACTCGGCCATTGTGCAGCAACCTGTCACAACGCTGTTGCGATTGCTTAGTCGCCATGTCTAACCGCTTTGAGTAGAAAAATTCTTCATTTGTTAATAAGATGGTTTCGACAAATGTGATTATTTTATCATTTAGGCTTTGAGCACTCGGCCTATGTATTCGCAATGGAGTCCAATCTGGTGGACAGCGACATCGATTGCACAGAAGTTGCGTCGGGTGCTCTGGTTATGATGGTTCAGGTAACTTTCAGTCGTTTACAAATATTCCTTATATAGGACTATTGACCTGATCAACATCCTTTGACAGCGTGGACTTTTCTACGCAGAAGCGGAGTTTCGTGCCATGGCCAACCCCGATAATACCCCGATGCTTGATGAGAAGACGGACACCCTTGGGCTCATAGAAGCAGGTACAATGTTTGGCCAGTTTTTTTTTGTTTCTGTTGAGGATATAGTTATTAATGTTTCTTATATTGCAGTTATGACCGAGCCTCCTCTCAGCAAATTCCGTAATTCCCAAGCAGTTCCTGTATCGAATAGTGAAACAGCTACCCCTGCAGTGAGTTCTGCTTTTTCTCATGCATGCCGATTTTGCTGTCATTTATTTTCGGTCCTCGTTTTTTCTTAGCGATTTTTTTCTCAAAGTAACTGCTGTTTAATACACTTTTTGGCGCTCCTGTCAGTGAGTGGGGGGTTTTCAAGCAACTGAGCCACGGAACTAATCCCTAAGAAGGTGAGGGGACTCCGGAGGAGGATGTGAGCAATCTGTGTTCTTCTTAGCGTGTCTTCGCGCTCCCGGGCTAAGTTGTAGTGTCGCCTACCATCGGTCTGTTTTGAGTGCCCCCCCCTCCCCCCCTAAGGCCATGATGAACGGCCACTTTTTCCCCAATTGTTCAGGTCACTTGTCAGCAACAAGGCTTGGTTTCTGTGTAGTGTAGCAGCAATATTACAGTATATTATAATATTATATAATCACAGTAGTATAAAAAGAACAGATTAGGGATGGTTGACTTTTTGGTTTGTTTCGTTTTCAATTTTAAGATGTGAAGAGAAACTGAAAAAAATGAATATCTCGAAATTCGACTATGTCCGGTAAGATGAGCAATTTATACCGACACACCCTTGACTTCAGTTCGCAGTGGGTTCAATTTGTGCGCAAGGATTTTTAAATTTCATACTGGATTAAGTAGTGCTCAAAAAATCTCTCCTGTCACTGTGCATTAATCCTTCGCTGAAAATTCTTGCAATCTTTTTCAACGTGTATGTATCAGCTGTGATCACTAGATGCAATACCAAAGTTTTACGCAAGAAGGTTCGGTTCCCGAAGAGAAACAAACTCACTAAAATCCATTCTGTGGACGTCGAAGGTAATTCGGGCGGGGCATGGAATAAGTCCGCTCTGGGCGATTACGTATCAGGTGACGCAGTGAAAGAATCGGATTAAAGCACGCGATTTCGGAGAGTATAGGCAAATTGATCGATATGAATAGGATGGGGTAGAAGTGTAAGACGTGAATACAGTAAAGCAGACGGTCAGGAAGAGTTTCTAGTGAAGGCACTCCAAGAACCAAATGAAAGCATTCCCGTCGCCAGTGTTTGTGAAAGACGTCCGTGGGCACTTTGAACGCGTAACAGCCCTTTCGGTTTTTCGAATTTTTTGCCAAAACAAGTGCAATTTCTCTGTTCTTTTCATTCTTATCGTAGATGATTGGTCTCAAGCCAGTGAATTATGGCTGAAAGTGAATCATGATTTCCGTAAAGGATTCCTTTGATCTTCTTTTTATTTCAGATGATGTCACCGTCCCGAAACAATGGCACTACGTTAGGTGTTCATGGAAAGAAGCAACAAGCTGCTCAACAGGCGTCTAGTTTGTGAGTTTTTCTTTTCCCGTGATCATGTGACATCACATGATTGATTTCATAATTTTAATGGTTCATTTAATTTGCTCATTATCTCTGTAGGACTGATGTGACCGCCCCACGAGCTGTTACTAGTGATTCCAATGGTGTCCGCCATACCGATGCTCTTGAATTTCCCGAGGATAAAGTTCGTTTCCTGAAATGTCATAGCAGTGAAGTGTTTATCTGCGCTTGGAACCCAGTGGAGGATCTCATGGCTTCCGGGTGAGTGTTTGCTTTTCAGAGTCCGAGCACAAGTGCACTTGTTGCGTAAGAATGTCCAGCCTGCCCCTGCCAACAGTACAGAATTGCTTCTTGGGTCAGACGATAACTGGTGCAAAACTGCTCGATGATTGCGAGAAGTAAAGTAGCTCCTCGCAGTTCCCAACTATTTTTAAACTACATTTTAAAAAAACCAAGGGAGGGGTGAAGAAAAATAAATTAAGCTCGTTCATTTTCTGTGAAATCGCTGCTTCTCTTTGGGACATTTTTTCTTCTACTCACATACATAACTTACAAGTACGTCTTTCCTCAAACTTTCCTGACTGAGAAAACAAAACAAGGGCAGAAGGCAACGGGCAACGGGCAGGGATAACGACCACATGTCCATTTATTCGTTCGCGGTTAAATTGTTTTAATATATTAAACTGTTTAAATTCATGGTAAAAAACCATTGCTTTTTTGGATTCAAGCATCCGATGTTTCAGACTAGTAGTTATCCCTTTGGCGAAAGCTTTGAATACGTGATCATACTGTTTTAGGTCAGGAGATTCGACAGCCCGAATTTGGAACCTGGCCGGTTCAGAAAATCCCGCAACACCTTCTAGAGAGTTCGAAGCACGAACGAAGGTTTTGAAACACTGCACATCTGGGGAATCTGAGAAAGCGCAGCAACCATCGAACAAGGTACTTAAATTTTATTTTCTTCTCTGGAGCTCTTTATTTTTTCAAATCATCATGAACAGTCAGAAAACCGTTGATGGCTCTTAATGGGTGTTTGTCTTGAGTACAAAGGAAGTACATTACTCCACGAAGTTGGATTTCAACTACGTTTTCCCTGTAATTAAGGACGTGACGAGTCTTGATTGGGACGCCGCTGGTGACCTTCTAGCAACCGGTTGCTACGACGGCTTTGCAAGAATATGGACAGCTGAAGGTTCGTTTTTCGATATCGTAAGATGCACACAAATAGCACAGCCGCCTATGTAGTGTTCAAGTAAATTTCGTGCTCAATTTTGACAGAGAAAAAAAAACGTTCAGTGCTGGCCAGTTCTTTTCTTTTTTTGATCGGAAAGGTATACATTTCTGTAGGTCTTAAACGTATAGGCTTATCTTTTCAGGACGCCTCCGCTGTACATTAGGAGCTCACAAAGGTCCTATTTTTGCTCTCAAATGGAACTCAAAAGGCGACTATATCTTATCGGCTGGTGTGGATAAGTCGACCATCGTATGGGATGCTGTTAAAGGTTCTTGACTTCTTGGAACGCTCATTTCATTCATTGTGCATACATCTCCATCATTTCAGCTTTTTTTTTACCTGTAACAAGTAATGTATCTATAGTTCTACCTAATGGATATGGGGTGTTTCTAAGGACCAAAGTCTCATTCCTTACTTTGGAACTTGAAATAATGCTAAATAAATGAGATGGAACATTTAGTTTCAGGGCGTCTATGTGGTGCCGTGCTGCGCCACGCAGTTGCAGTATGTTAAATTGTTGTGCGCTAAATATTCTCTTTCAGGCCAACAAGTACAACAATTCCATTTCCATACGGCGTCCGCTCTTGATGTCGATTGGATCACGAACGACACTTTTGCTTCATGTTCTACGGATAAATCAATCCATGTCAGTCGTCTTGGATGTGACAAGCCGATTCGAACATACCTGGTAAGCTGCTCTTATCGAGTAAATATTTCTCCTTTATGATGTCGTTCAACGATTGTCCGGCTCAGGGACATCGAAATGAAGTGAATGCTATCAAGTACGACCAGCATTCGAATAGACTCGCATCGTGTTCTGATGACATGTCTTTAAAGGTACGTGTTGATCGGAATTTTTTGTGCTATTTGAATTTCTCTTTCTTCTCTGTGGAAATTGATTTTAAAGCAGATAGTTGTTTCTTCCATAGCTCCACGGTCATTTCTCTGCGCTTTTTCGTTTTTAGTACTCTTCTCGCTTGAGCTAGGCAGCGGCGCATTGTGCACGTGGCAAAAACTGCCTTCAGCGCCATCTGCAACAGATATCGTAAAGTGACGCACTCTTGTGTTTTCTAGCAAGCAGTGTGTAACATCTGTTACTGGCATCGTCAAGATTCAAAATTGGATTCATTCCTGTCAAGCTGTATTATTGCTAAAGAAATCAAAAGAAAGCAGGATGGAGGACATTCAACTTCAGTTTGAATTTCATAAACCTGACCAACTTACCACGAAGTACAATTATCGACTGATTTGTTTTATTACCATCACTTCTTCGCTCCTTCGAATGCTGCTTGCGTTGTTGCGTTTTTGTTGCGCGAGATTTTTTTCAGTGAAAAATGTACATGAGGTCTTTGTGAAAAAAGGAAAGGAGGGAGGGGCGCTTGATGCAGTGGTTCGTGCCGCTTACAGTAATCATAAGTTGTGCAGATAAGTCACAAATAACTTATAAGTTGATTACGTTCTCGGAAGGCAAAAATGAGAAAGTAGCAACATTGCGATGCGAGTTATCAAACAAAAATTGCCACAACCAAACGAAAATAGTACAAATCATAAACTAGCTGTCAATCAGTTACAGAAAGCATTAGGACCTGCCTTTGCTTAGCAGCAATTTAACAACACGGCATTTGAATTGCTACAAAGTGGTGGGTACTTTCCTCAGTAACTTCAAATAGTCACTGCCGGCTCTAAAGGTGAAGCTTCTTGCGGCGACAACGAGATCTTCATGGAGCCTCTCCTAGTTCTCGAAGAATTCAACTTGAATACGTCGAATGCACCGCAACCGTTTCACCTCTGTTTGGTCCATAAACTGGTACAGACCCGTCCTGTACTAGTTTATGAACCAAATAGGTGAAAAACCCTGCGCCTCACTTCTAAAGATGTCAGTTCTTAATACTAATTCCTAACAGCTGCTTTTGGTATTTTGGAATGCAAAAAAAACCATCAGTTCGAATAAGCAGTTGACGAGTAAAGTTATATAAAGACCAAAAAGCCCGAGGGTGCATGTGAAGGGAAAGCGAAATTTTTGAAAAACCTGGGAGCGTTCTACTCGTGCAAAAAATTACAACTGTTGCATCGAATGCCCCTCCTTCGGTACATTGATTTTGAACGTAGTTCGAAATTGACTCGCAGTATGTGTGATGTCTAGATATGAAATTCTGGGTGTTTTAGATTTGGTCACTACAAGAAGACCAGCCGGTTTACGACTGGAAGGCACACGAGAAAGAAATCTACACAATACGGTGGAGTCCACTTGGCCATATGTTAGCGAGGTTGGTGTTATGTACGAGAACCCTTTGAGACTGAATATTACTATTGAGGGAGGCTGAAATTTTAACACATAGTCCTCCGTACTCTTAAGTACCGTCACAAAAGTTGTGTTGTACGTCCTACTAAGGTGGAATCATAACGAAGCGGGCTATTCCTCTTCGGTTCCATGCTAAGCGGTAGCTGTTTGCAGTAGATCCTTACTCTGTGTTACAAACAGTGGCCATAAGTTGTCTCACGCATTTTATCTTCTGTTTAGTGCGTCATTTGACCACACCGTCCGTCTCTGGGACGTAAGACGTGGTGAACTCGTCCGGACATTATCTCGTCACAATGACCCCGTATACTCGGTCTCATTTTCACCGGACGGACGTTACGTGGCTTCTGGTTGTTTCGATCGATCTGTGTTCATTTGGGATATACAGGTACTTCTAAAGCTATTTTTAGGAGGAGAGATATCGTGTTACCGTTAAATTTTCAACCATTTTGCATTTTGCAAGGATGGAGTGGGCCCAATTGTTGGTTCCTTACTGATGCTCTAAGCCGAAAGATTTCTGTTTAGACGGGTAAATTACTGCAAAGTTACGTTGGTGAGAAGCGGAAAGGTGGTATCTTCGAGGTGAGCTGGAATTCTCGAGGAGAAAAGGTGGCAGCAAGCGCCAGTGATGGAACGGTGAGTGCCCAGCTTTTCTGAGACCACGTTGCGATCAGTTGACTGTTTTTTTTTCTTGAACGATCGCCGTATGTGCGATGTGCTTGGCAGATCGATACGTACAGCTTTGATGCTCATTGATTCTCTAAGCCTACTATAATCGCGCAAACGTTTGGTTAGAAATTGTAATATAATATATTTTGTAACAAAAAGTATACTTTTCAGGTGATTCTGCTCGATGTTCGTCATATAAAAAATCGCCTTCCGTAGGTAACAGGTTTTCCTTACAAGAACATCAGGTTATTGAAACAAAGAGGTCTACTTCTTTCCCAGAAGTTGGTCTTTCTATATGGATATCGCTGTAAATCTCATCTTGTAGTTCATCTCAAATCGCTTATTGTTTTATTTGAATTTTAAAGCCGTTGTGCTGTTTGAGTTAGCATGCACATTGCGGTTCGAACTTTGTCCTTCCTGTAAATCGTCACGTTGCCAATGACGTCACTAAAGAGTTACCTATCCTCGATTTCCGTCAAGCTGCAATTTGAGCGGCACCTATGATTTAGACAGCGCCAATTATAGCACTCTGGGTGTCTGCGCTCCATGGCGCTTTTTATGTGAGACGAAGATCGGGGACACTCATGGCAACGATGCTACTGTGAATTCTTCTTGTTAGGTCAATTTTTATTGTGTAGCCATATATTTGGTTTGTGCATCATCTACACACCGATTGTTGGTCGGTTGATTTTCCGGGTTCATTCCATTTTGTAGTTCGATTTCTTCTTTCGTTCGCGTTTTTGTTTTCGATGTTGGTTCTGATATCTCAAGCGTTTTATGTGATTTGATGTTTTATGATGTTTTACTTCTTGTTAGTAATGTTCGTGTTTTATTTGTGAGTTCGGTAAAAATTTATTAGTATATCCATATACCGTTATCTTGGTGTATGTGAAAGTCTCTCCTTAGCCCTCTTTACCCCTACATGACCGGTACCGTAATCTATACGATCAACCTTTTTAGACAAATTCTAAGACTTCGATAGCGCGTAAGTAAGGTGTCATCGTGTTTTACTCGAGTTAAGCGTTTCAATTCGGTTCAGTCGTTACTGCTGTGTTATTGCCAATCCTTAAATCTTTTGAGATAATCGCAAACTGTACGTTAGTCCCTAATTCTGTTTTTTAAATTTTGTTCGTTCTATTTGTGTTGTGTATTTCATAGAATGGGTACGTGCTATGCCTAGCGCTGAACATGGATTGAGCGCCGAATTCTATTTGTTCTTGTGAGTAAAGTATCTGTGAATAGCACGGTGTTTTTGTACTGATGCTGATTGCTTCACCATAAGTGCGTTGGCTTTGTGCCAGCACATAAGCGTCAATTTCACACTAGTGGGACATGTGGGACATCGTGACTAATTAGTGGCCCATGCTTTGCACAAGCAGTACTAGTTGATTTCGACCGCCGGCTTATGTGCTACATCTTTCTGAGCCATATTCGATAAGGAGCAATTGGCAGTGATGAGGTAGGAGTGTTCGTTTCATTTCATCCCTATCTTGGGACTATCCAATTTTTATAACCCGGGAATTAATTTTCAATTTTTCAGTTGAAATTCGGCCTGTGGGAACAATTCGATGCCATGTTAACGACTACATTTGAACCTGGCGTTGTAATTTTGCACCGATTTTCTGCTCCTCTCAATCCCTCCAAATACTGTTTAGTTTTAGTTGGGTGTCAGACTTTGCGAATGCAATCGAAAGTGGGGAGAGGTATTGCGTAGTATGGTTCCGTTTTGGCGCAAGTGGGTACAATATTCTGTATTTTGTATTTGTGTTCGGACCAATGAAACACGCAAAGACGAAGTTTAAGCGAGGAATGGTCTATTTTACTAAAGGGTGTAAGTATTTGGGTGTCCTCCAAGAGGTCCATAGCGCGGCGAAGGAGGAGACGCAGACGCGGCAAAGGACGAGTCGCAGCACATACTGTAGCGGTTAAGCGTCAGTTTAAATATCAGTTTTAATAGAGTGTACCACACTACGTCTCATATCACCCAGCACGCGCTGCGACTCGTCCTTGGCCGCATCTGCGTCTTTCCCTTGGCCGCGCAATGGGCCTCTTGGGGGAAACCCTAAGGATTTGCTGCGATAGTTCGGGAATCTTACGTTGATCCCAGTTTCTGCAAGGAACTCGAGAGTGGGCTTGGAAATGAGAGCAAAATAGTTGCCGCACCCCAAGCCTTCCATCACTCGCAATGGAGAACTATTGCTCCGCAAGTCCGACAGAATGGCTGATGGAGCACCTAGAGAGAAGACTCAATGACCCCTCCCATACATGTCAAGAAGGTACTGGTAGCGGAACACCGAGAGCACAGTGATCACCCAGAACTTTTGATCAGCACCAGTTCAACTATACAGCTGTAGGAAACAGTTCAAGGAACATGGGCGCTCATGTCATCAGGGAGGACATCGTAGTCGGAACGTGGGGGCTTGGGGAGGGGAAGGGATTCTGGAGGAGGACGTGAGCAACGCTTGTTCCCCATGGAGTCCGAGTCCTACAGCGGCTTTCAAGTGCTCCACTTCCCCTCCCCCCCTTAGGAGTGGGGAGCGCCACGAATGGGAAATGAGTAGAGATCTTTCCATCTGTATCGGTCGACATTGTTTTGGCGTGTTTTCGCCGGCAAGGGAAACGGTCACGCTCAATTTTGTGCATCAATATGGTCCCAACGCTGTTGCGGTTCTAGCGTCAAAGACTATTCTTTATCATGTTGTGCTTGAACATTCATGTATGTTGATATTTGGGCATGTAGCGCCTGGCGCTGCACAACGTCTGAAGAGCAGTCCTGACTGTGTGGCGTCAGACAACAAAAGTTTCCAACATCAAGCTTAGGTGATTGTTGTTGGAATGTCGCTCTCAAGAAAAAACACTGGCCTGGTACGCGATGGCTCTAAAAGCACATGTATGGGCGAAGAGCAGTTCAACGCCATAGATTCTGAGATGGGTTAGAGTGCGTGGCGTCTTCATTGGGCTGTAGGCGGCCAATGATTTTTACTTTACTTTTTCAATGGGAATATTTTTCCCGCTTTTATTTAGGAATCATTATCAGCCATTATTTTGCCGGGATTAACGGGTGGATGCCGGCCCACGAGCCTGTGCCTGGTCATGTTTGGCTATTTCGTAATGGATTAACTGCATAAACATTTTTAAATGCGTTTGAATAGCGGACGTTTGTGGTGATGTGCACATTTGAAAGTGCTGTCGATGCTGATGTTGCACTCACGGTGCCGGATCTGACATCAGTGCTTGTTTGTTTATCACTGGCAACCTTTGAGCGTTTTAAACCATTTGGCCATGATTTACCTGGTATGCTTTTCCTCCCTGTCTTTTCTCAGCTCCGGAGGAGTGGATCTTGTCAGTGCGGATCCACTGCCGGTGTTCTCAGCGTGTCCATTAAGATGCTTTGTTAGAAGCTTCATTATATCCTTGTCTTTGCTTGACTGTAAGCGTTGCGCGGGCAGCAGCGACAGGGCCAACGTGTGAGGCCTACGAGGGATTGAGGAGGATGAAGCGGGGGGGTGGGAATGCTATGCTTCGAAAGAGGTTTGGACAGAGGAGTCAGAGGAGAGCCTTGAATTGGGTGTTTGTATTTCTTTCGCGAATTGATGATTGTTCAAAAGATGTGGGAATTCCACCGTTACTCCCTCTGGAATGGAAAATGGTTCGGATTAGGAAGGTTTCAAAAGAGAGGAGCGAGGGAACGTGTTGGGGATTCCTTCCACGACGTTATGCTCGGGTCTTGGGCCCGCTGTTCATCTTTTACGTCTTTCATCTGCGAAATGTGAATATGCAGTTCACATAATTGTATAATGATATCAGGTTGTACGGAATTCTGTAGTAACTTGTGGTTTCTAGGAACCGTTCCTCGATCTCAGATTCAATCAATACGGCATGTTGTAAAAGTGAGACATGTCAGGCCAAACAACCTGAATATGAGGCTTTTGGCTTAGACCTTAGTTGCTGTCTTGAAATAAGTTAGCTCATATAGGGCGATGTCAGACTTTGCGAATCGCGCGAATCGCTAGTAGCGAATCGCGCGATTCACAAAATCTGATATCTGCTATACTGATACAAATTTCGAAAAAAACAGCTTCCGATCCATCTCTTTTTACGGATTCTACAGTGGAGGTTAGAATTTTCTCAAGGTTGTTTTGGAATCCCTTCATAGCCCGACACAACCACTTTTGCTTTGTTTTAGGACATTCAGCAATGGTTTGAGACTTGAATGTTTCGGGATTACTACAGTTACGGGGGCATCATGATGCAGCTTTTCGGCGAACTGGTGTGAACTCATTCCAGCATTTGACGCATGTCAAGTGACTACCCTCACTTCCCACCCCTGGCTGGCTACACTCCCCCCGGGTCGTAGTTACCCCAGCTTTTTGGAAAAAAACTGCATCATGATGCCCCCTTTCCTAACTGGAATAGATCCAAAGTTTCTACCATCTTTGCATCTCTTGTTCTACTCTATTTCTGTAGATTCGCGAAGCGCGTGGAGTGCAAACCAAGCACCACAGGTGACGAGGGCCTCCAAAAATGTGAATGCTTTCTGTCACGGAAATGATCATCCTGTTGCAGCTGTGTTCTATCAGTTCTCACTAATTACTACTCTCATTCAGCAGCTATCGGCTGTCACTATGAATCCTAGCTACCACATTTACTTGGAGGCCGTCGTAACTTGTGGTGTGTGGTCTGCACTCGACGTGCTTCTGATTTTCTGAACAGAGGGTAATTCTGTCGTCAGTGTGTTTGAGAGTCGGTGACCGATACCACTTTATGTGCTGGTAAATACCAAGGATCGCCACTGCCCTTATTTTCGCAGACAAAGTCAGAGATAGTACCCCTATTCTGGAAAACGAGAAGATCGTGAGTGCAGACCACACGCCATAAGTGACGGCGGCCAAAAAAGGCTTTTCCTTTTCTTTTGTCTTGGTCGCCAAAACTTGTGGTGTGTTGTCTGTGCTCGACGCTCTTCTCGTCGGAAATAGAGATTATATTCCTACTCACCGGTTGCCACCATTGCTGCAACATATTGCCATCTGTCATCGCTTTTGAATAAAGGCTCTTATTCTTTGAGATCGACATGTGAACTCAGATCCTAATTCGATTATTTTATTGTAATGTGACACGCCTCACTGAATTAAGTCGACGGCAACCAAGATAATGAGCTGCACATTCTTTCCTGCATGCCTGCAGTGTAGTATCTTCATGCCATTTGTGATTTCTCATCTAAGCTACCACTAGCATCGTATATGGATTGAAGGCCGTCCATTCCACTTAACCAGAACTGCTAAAAAGGTTGTCTGCGAGATAAAACATAGATTCAACGTTAGACGGTAAGCAACTGATTGTATTGGTCAGGTAGGCGGCATTCAGACGTTGCTACGAGTTCAAAAGAAGAATGGAAGAATAATGAAGAAGAACAGGAACACAGGGAGGACCACGTCCATTTGTGTGATTAAGAGGTCAAAGGACTTATCATTGGAACGAGCGCTTTTGGTACCTTGTCGTTTGCCCCTGTTCCACCCATAGTCATACTCGAAAAGTGAGCCTTCGACTGATTCTGCAGGTGACCCAACTCCGACTCATGGATTGTATTAGACTCTTTCACAAGTTCTCGATGCTTGAGATCATTGATTGTGCAGAAGCTGGTGCTACTTTGATGTTCTCCCCTCTCCTGAGCAAAAAACAGTGAGTGCAGACTGAATGGGGAGCCACCAGAAGCTCTGCGTGCCATGGAGTATATCATTCCAGTTGAATGCTCATTGCTGGGCACAAGTGTGCCTGAGCTCATTTGCAAGTAGGACCAGATCATCGTCAACACAACTTGTAGTGTGGGTTAGTTATGTCGTAACAAATGGGCCCCCGCATTCAGGGTCAGACGTCATTTTCCAAGGAGGAAATTGTATTCTGTGATTCCAGGGTCATACCTTGAGCACATGAGAAGAGGCAGACTTCTCGGATGATGAAATATTGCTTACGAAATATCGAGAAACTTTGAAGATTTGCCGTCTCTGCAGCTGAATAACACTCCCTTCCCCTCGATCGTGAAACCCCCGTTCCACAACTCATGCCGAATTCGAAGTGTTCGAAAAGAAGCCAGGTCCAACGACACTATGGAAGCTGTAGAGACCATCGATCGTAGGGGGGGGGGAGTGTTGGGGAGCGGTATCCAATTTTGAAAAATTCCCTATTCTCAAACATTGCTTTTATTTATATTGCTACAGTTTTTCACCAATATTGGATTTAGGTAATGCTTTATGATTTTTAACCGTTCATTGCGTATGTTCATTTATTTTAGTGTTAAATAAGTGACCACGGCTATTCCTAGAGGTCGGCGATGGAACGAGGCGCGACCCATGAGGTGTTTTACAGGGTACCAGGGCTATCCCACTATAGCAAATATTTCCAAAATTTTATTTCAGTTTACCGGCAACCAAAATTGAAGGTGGCGGTCGTCAACAATCCAGAGCTATCAAGCTCCTGCCCAGTAAGTAGTAGACATGATATACAGCCCGTTCCATCAATGAGCCAAAATCCCAACTTTGGATTACCCTGACCTTCACCAATGCTCTATTTAACTTTGTGCTTCTTAATTCTTATTAACTCAAAAAAAATTTGTTTTCGAATATCGCTTCCAATTGATCCATACCCTAGTTATTGAGAATCCCTCATGCTTGGTTGAACCTTTCTGAACAAATTCTAGGAAATTTTATTTTTAACGTTGACTATTTTTTGGCGTCCAGCAACCCCTTTGATGTGGCGGGAATGATTGCTGATGGTCTCACTGATCGTGCGCCAGGTATGATGGTTCTAATTGAAGCTCCATAAATACATCCTTCTCCAAGTAACCCCTGACTACTAGGCCACCCTTCTATGCTGCCAGTACTACTGCCTCTTAATGCTTGGTAAACCCACTTTAATTGCTCGTCAACACCATAAAACTGGAACGACTACAGTTCCATCATTTTGAAACTCCTCTTGGGATTACAGCCGCCGTCTTGGAACTTTCTCAACAGCCTCGTTATGACTACACATGATTCTGAAGACGTCTCTTAGCCATTCGTGATGTCATCTGCTTTGGTTTTATATCGTTCTGATCTCAGAGCGATGGAACTCCCAGCACTTCTTTTCCATCCCTTCGTCCGATCGCCATCTATTTATTGTATTTATTTATTATGTTTATGAGAAACGGACTGGCGGCGCATTCTTGAAGAATGCGCCGCCAGTCATCATCAAAACTCTGGCTCGACTCTTCACGCGCTACCTGTGGGATTGCAAGGTACCCACTCCGTGGAAAACCAGCAGGACCGTGTTGCTGTACAAGAAGGGAGACCTGGACGACATTGGCAACTATCGCCCAATCTGTCTGCTGTCTGTAATCTACAAGCTATTCACTCGAGTCATCCTCAACAGGATCGGCAGAATACTGGATGAAGGACAGCCATGCGAGCAAGCAGGGTTTCGAAGAGGGTTCAGCACGATCGACCATATCCACACGGTTACAAGACTCATTGAAGTTTCACGAGAGTACAAGATGCCGCTTTGTCTCACGTTCATCGACGTGAAGAAGGCCTTCGACTCTGTGGAGACGAGAAGCGCGTCATCGAAGCCCTTGGGAACCAGGGCGTCCCTATCAGTACTCAAGATCTTCGTGAGCTCTACGGACTTCTTCCGACCAGGATCTACCATTCTTACAGGAGGTCATCATCGAGTCAAGAGGGGGTTCGACAGGGGCAGACACATCTCGACCCAAACTCTTTCAGGCGTCGACCTCTCGAGACGTCATGCGTCACTGCGAATCGGGAAGACACATGCGAGTGAAGAGTCGCAAAACTGCACAACCTGTCGTATCTGCCTGACGACATCGATTCTATTATAACGCCAGAACCACTACGAGCAAGCGCGACGCGAATGGCCTGCTGCTTTCGTCATGCGCCTGTGGTAGGTACGGTCTGCCAGCATGAAACCTACACGAAGAACGACGTTTCCTATGAGCAAACCGATTAGGTTCCGGGAGCGCCCCATCAATGCTACAACGAATAGACGAACATCACCGAAGCTTCAGTCTAACGTGTACTAGGTCGGCTGAAGAGAAATATGGAATGAACGATACAGCTCCAGAGCTGACAGGCAGTGAGCGGGAAAACGCGTTGGTGCGAGCGTATAAGAACAGTCGCACCAGGGGATCAAGGGTGAGAAGACGAGTAGCCGAACGGACATTCCGCGCTTCGCTAGCGCTACTCGGTTTAGAGGTAGATCTAGGTAAACCGCTCACCCTTCGTAAACTCTCACTGTATTACTCGGCGCTCAATGTTTCATTTGGCTCGCAGTATCCTACCTTACGCCGCCTCATCGTAGGACTTGATATCAGTAGCTGCAGGGCGGGGGAATGGTTTTGTTTTTTTGGACGGCAAGCAGCGCTGGTCAGCGTTATTCCAAGCGCGACCTGTCCGAGGGAAAGAAGATTACGATGCTCAGGAGTTAACCCTGTACAGCGCCAACGTGGGACGGATATTGAAGAATCGGAGAGAATCCGATCATCAAATTCGTTTTTCTTTTCGCCTAGTTTTTGTGCCGACGAAGGCGACACGCTGACGATACCTGTATAAAAAAAGTATCTTAATCCACTAAGCTTGCTTTAATGGCATAATTGAGGGAGTACTGCTTTCAACTTTAGCATGTAGTGCAACCCGAGCGGGCATCGGTTGTGCCGGCCCAGATGTAATTAAGATCATAGAGAGCATAAAGAAAAGGTACCTAGATTCTTGCCGTGATCAGTCCGAACCTACGCCTTATTTGAACGACTCGAAGATCCAGGGACGGATGGCGCTTTCGCAAAGGTAGGATAATCGCTACTATAAGATCATATTGGGTATTCGTAGTGGGGCCGGACACGTCATGGGAATTCTCGATGACCGTGGAGCCAGACGGTTACCGACTGGATCCCTCGGGACGTCAAACGAACACCTGGACGACCGCCGGCCCGATGGTCAGACTTCTTCACGAAAGCTCTGAACGAAAGGAATGAATGGCTTCGTGTCCCTCGAGCGAGGAGGATCCATTGGACCACTCCAGCACACGACAGGGACGAATGGAGACGTTGTTGGCGCCCACTCGAGCAAATCGACGATCAACGGGACGACAGGTGATACAGGTGATGACTCGGAAGGACGCGCTACAGACAGGCGATAATAGGAACTAGCAAGAATCTGGGATTACGAAGAAATAAAAAAGGAGGGACAAGCCAAGCAGCCTTCACATGTGTAGATATCTATTGAATAATTACTTCACCTCAAACTAATTGATTACCTTACCAAAACCGCTTGCTATACGACTAATATACTGGTACGTATAATTCAAAAGCTAGGGGGCGCACAACAGGTTGTTTTGATATAAGTTCACTAAAAGTATTGAAGAGGTTCTTGTAACGAAATGAAAGTAATGCGTCAGTTTAATGTATTCTTCGCTCATGACTACATTCGTCGGTTTGTTTTTGTTTTCGAGATCTATCCACCATCATACTTTACTTGTTATTCTGTTCATAGTAAGAATGAGAAAGAGACTAGTTGATAGCGGAACGCTGTTTCTTAGAAAGGGAGGAATAATGTCGAAATGCAGCGCTGGGACTTCATAATGATTCTCAGGGGATGAACCCCCTCACAATCGCGTTTGTTCTTCAATGGGTTTTATTCTTTGCTAAATTCAAGGTCTTTGAACTTTTTCATAGCTTTATTTATCCGAGTAAAAACGATAACGTTGGCGGCGGCGAGGGCCATTCCCTAGCGTCTCCCTATTTTTCATTGCGCAATTCAAATGGGAAATTACTGTTTTAAGTTTTGAGAGATGGGTCTTATGTAAGTAAACATGGTATACGATCGACGAGCTATAGCAACAATGTAGCAGTATGCCTCTGAGGCCTTTTTCGGATAGCCCCTTTGAGCTGTGCTCAACGATAACAATGCTACAATATCGCAGCTTGGGGAAGGGGGGGGGGAGGGGGTTGAATCTTTGAAACCGATCAGACCCTAAGGTTGGCCCTACGTGATCCAACGTGATCCCTACACCTCAATGAAGACTTCAACTCATAAATTCCTCAGAACACGCTCACCTATTTCTGGGAGACATTCAGTTCTCCTTCTGGGGTCAGGGCGTCCGAGCTGCGTGATCACTGAAACCTAAGGTTGAGCTCTGGCTGAGACTTAAGATTAGGCTTATACTTGTATGTTGGCTTGTGCTTAAGCCATTGTTTGTGTCTAGGCTTGGTCCTAAGCTTGCTTCGAGCAAATGAGAGGTGTCTCAATTTTAGGCGACCTGACTTGAGGAGGAGAACTGCAACGCACCTCCTACTTTTCCTTCTTCCGTGAAGGTTCACTGCATGTTGATCACTTTACATACGCTTTACTTGCTTGCGCCTTTCCACCAGAAATTTCGACTGCCCGCCCTGTGCGGGCTCCGGAATCTGTACCTTAGCTCAAGTTGTACCCTCTGGCTACTCAGAAGATCAAGTATACTTTTTCACAGAGCCCTAATGTTAGCTATAAGTCGGACTACTTACGTGATGTCTAATTGACAACGGCACGAATGCGTTGGGAATCTGAGATGCGATGCAACGTAATCATTGGTCATTTACGATTACTCTATGTTACACAGTTGATGCCAGTACGGAGAATTCATCCAGATATAGCCTGAATCAATGTGAGATGTGCTAAATCGTTTTGCAGGATGATACATCTCCTAGGTTTGCTTCTAAAGCCACAAGAAAGGATGTTACCAGACTTATTCGGCTAACGTTTCGGCTTGGTCGCCTTCCTCAGAGGTTCGGATGATATATCTTGAAGTGTCGCTTGTCTAAACGGTGCCGTTAACCACAGTTCAAGCTACTCGAAAATAAGTTCGACTTGTTCTTTTGGAACCTCGCTTTCTCTAGATGCGGTTTCAGCGCTACTTTGCCACCCTCCACAGCTTCTTTTAACTTTTCTGCCATGTTTTCTTTAATCAGCCAATACGCTTGTTTGTGTTTCCATCTGTTCGTGCGTTTGCTTAACTGGGAATTCGTACCTCCTTTGTTCAGGAGCGCATTGCGAGACACCAAAAGCGTTGTAAATATGGGTCAAGTTACGAAACAGTGGATGCTAACTGATTTTCCTGGGAAGAAAAAACAGAAAAGAATCCTCTGGGATCGTTCGTAGTAACCTTTCCTTTTATTTGAGAATAAGAGAGTCTAGGAAATGCTAGGCGTTGAGGTGAGAGAACGACAGACAGGGACAGAGAGCATAGCAGTGAATTAGAAGGCAGATACCGCAACAGTGAGCATGCATAGTTGCATAGGGTCTCCATGGTTGCAGGTTCTAAGCCCTTTACGACTTTGCTTGGAGTATGAATGGGATCTTAGCTCCGAAGTTGTAAAGCTAGTAGGAGCATTGTCGTAAGGGATTGGCCTGGTCTAGTAGGGGAATCAGCCCTCAAGTGGGTGAAGATTCGTTTAAGTAATAAGGGATTAAAGTAACGTCACGTTTTCTAGCTCAAGACCATGATATTTTAAGTATAACATCGTTGCGGGATGATTTAATTTATTTTGAAAGTCCAACAAAAAAAATTGATTCCTACTATGGTCAGCCTGGTTCAAAGCAAGAGGATAGGAGCAGTCATATCAGCTCGAGGAAAAAGTAGTGACCATCACTGAAAAACTACAATATTCAAACATTATCTGATCTGTAATGACTAGTGTAGCTGTTGTGACATCTCATGAATCCTGAAGACCAATATCGAATTTTTCCCGGCCGCAAGAATGTTTTCTTTGACCTGATAATGGTAACAGATCATGATACAGGTAATGTGTGATGAAGATCATATCATTTGGTAAATGATGATAGCTATCACTGATTGCGGGGTGAGCATACCTTACTTATTTTTCCATTCTTCATTGTTTCATGCATCAATTTTCATGAGAAACTTCATCTTAGGTGTTTCGGTAGCCGTTTATTCATTTACTTGTTTATTGGTAAGTTTTAGTAGGGGTTACATGCAGAGTTATAAAATAGCATCCTAATAGAGGAACAATTGAACGATTAATTCCAGTTACTAGTAAAATTGACTTCCGGAGTCAACTCTATAGAATCACTTCGGCAAGTTGAGTTACCGGGCGCCAGTGTGATTTTACAACGCTCTATTAATGGTACCCATGAAGCAGCGGATTTTGTGAGCACGTATTTTTTCGTGCCCTATGTTAACATGAATTAGAGCAAAAACCAAATTGCTAATTGAGCTTTGGCCATCTCTTCCCGGACACGAACCCATGTGCTTCTTAGCAAATGTAATTAATATCGCTCGTCAGCCTCTTCATTCTGCACAAAACCTCCTATTCACTAGGCCTACTACAAACATGAGTAAATACTAAAGTTCTCAGCGCATTCATCTTTTCAAGTACTGGGTTTTGAATGCGTAGCTGGCCTGACCCAAACAATAGATAGTCGAGGTCGATATACTACTCAGTGATTTGATACCCCTGCTTATGATATGGCACCACTTAGATGACCCAGGAGGGATACTGCTTGGCATGAACGGTATACTGGTTGGTATTACCGGCAATAGGTATGGTGGCGACGCCCTTCATACTCTTCATCGTCGTTTCCGAATCCCCCACAAAAGGGTAAACTGAAAAATCTAGTATTGAAGAAATTATTTTGGTTCGTACCACGCATTTCACGTCCATTTAGACTCGTGGTGGAATATGGGTTAAGTTTGGACTATACATATATTGATTTGCGGTGCTTCTGACTAACATGAATCTGGGACCAGTTAGCCAGCAATGGAGAGATGAAGGACTCGATTGGCTTTGTAAACTAGTTCTGGGATTTTATTTTAATGATCGTTCCTCCTTTACAGACAAAGGAAGGTGGGGGACTTGCCCAGACAAGGTGAGTATTGGGACCCCAGCTGTGGCGATGACGAGGGGGGGGGGGGTAAGCGGTCGTTTCAGAGTACCAGGAAAGGTATTGGCCAGTATTCTCAACGCGTTGCTCGCCCATGATCAGGAAGCACTTGGGCGCAATAGTGAGTGATTGTGTGTTGATTTAGTAAGGACTGCCGAGTAGCCACCAAGTTACTCACTCTTAGGAGGCGACTATTCGTCATAAACGGCTCATCAGGTAACGAAAGGTGAGCCACTATTTCCCTTAGCTTTTTAGGCTGGGCAGGACCCCATACTTTGGAACTTGGTTTGCCCTTTCCTTTAATCCTACAGTGCTAATGCAGAAAATGTATGGCAGATTCGCAAAACTCGTCGTAGGGCGACACTTTTCTCCCATTCATTTATTTTTTTTCTATTCATTTTCTCCCACAATTTTCTTTTTCATGTTTTGCTTCTTGCTTCCGATTTCCGAAATTATTTTCACGCGGAATTCTCTTTTCATGAATTGAGCTCTTTGAGATTATTCTTGGACCACCATTCTACTGACCCAAGGAGATGTTTAGCAGATTTTAGCGGAGCAAATGACATTTTTTCAGGTCCTCTAACAGTTTGATTCAGAATTAGCATTTATTTTCAGTTCGTCATAGGGAATGATTACAATAATATATTTGAGAAGGACCACACTTCAGAAATGCTCGGCTGTAAATGCCATAGAAGCGTACTGCCTTTGTTCGTTGACTAGCGGTGGACAAAGGCATTCCGTTCGTTACATCAGCCCATTTGTTAGCCCAGTTAAGTTGTTTTTTCTCTTAACGACATCTGCGACTCTTAGAGCTCCACTCGTAGTGCCTCTTTCGATAGAATGCAATATCATGGGTACACAACGCCTTCGGGATGTGCAACTGATATTGACATTAACTATCAAGAAGCAACCATCCCTCCCACCCACCTGGGTGATTGAGCGGCAAAGTTGTCTAACAAGTTAATGATAGTGTCTTAAAGGCACTGTCACGATAAACTGATAGTGTCAAATGTGTAGGTAGAGGTGCCAAGCGGTTTGTCCTTGAAAGAAATCAAGAGAAAAGGAAGGGAACCACTGCCTGAGCCCTTACGCTTCGAGCAGTAGTTCCCTTAAAGTGTGCAATTACGATGTTTTTGGGTAAAATGATCTCGAGACTTGTTTTTTTATCATTACTTATAGAAGAGTTGTGGAATCGGTTCTATTTCTTAGCAAGCAGCAATTTTCGTCAAGAACAGATTTTCCAATTATGAAAGTCCTTTCATGTATGGCGATACAAAATAGGACACACACAGTAGAAATCAGCGTCGGAACCTCTACACAGCCGTGCAAAATTTGTGCAGAAATTTTTTAAAAATTTTCCTTCTGATCTTCGCTATCTTCATTCATCGTATATCTGCTATCCAATTTTGACCAACGATGTCGATGGCTGCCGAAAATTCCTTGTCTTAGTTGAAATCGAGGGACCGGCAGAAAAAATGAAAGGAGAACTCATTGAGTAACTTTGCTCAAATCTCTCGATTTAAGGTCAATCAACAAATGATAAACTTTACATGGAAATCTCCATTCTTTGCTTCTGGTAACCCCATGGAATTTTCCTGAGGCTTCCTTCCTCTTTAACTTCTGGTAAGTCTTTTTAACGAAAGTATAGACTGAATTATGTACTATGGAGAAAACGAAGCGTTACCCCCACGCCGTTCGAAATTCCTCTCGGAATGCGCCACGCATTTGACTTTCATTCGGGAGCGTACTGACATATGGATATACTGTACTTGTGATATACTTTGATGTACTTGTCCATTTGATAACAATATTAATGAACTACACTCATCCCTACTCGCAAAGGTGCCTTTCTTGGAGCGATTTCTCCCATTGTCGTCACGGGGAGGGGAGGGGGCGAGACAGAGCGACATCATTTCGCTTCATTTCGCTTAAGTGGTTCATAGCCATGTTGTAGTGGATAATGAGGTCGCTAGATTGTGTAGGGAAGATGTTCTTGTGGTCGGACGGTACTTCTTGAACCTTCGTTCCGTATAAGAAATCGTCCTCCTCTTATGCATCATTACGAAAGCCGAGACGATGCTCGCTGAATCGAAGGAGTCAGGAAGGAAAGTAGAGCTGCTTTAGTCAAGCTTGGCACAATTCAGAAGGAACGCTGGTCCGGTGAAGGCCAGATTGATAGTATAGTAAGATTGATGGTATAGTCACATATTAGCCAGACGTCATCCAAGCCTATAGGTGTCTCTCTCTACCATTTTATGGATCTGGCTAACAAAGTGAAGGAAGAGCTGAGAAACTAACAGAAAGCGGTATGTAAGCCTTTGAATAACCTAATAACCTGTAAACCTTTGGTACGATATCATTCCTGAGTTCGAGTCCTCATGAGGTTGCTAGTAAACTTCATTTCGGTGGGACGGCCCTCTTCGGGGAATTTTTTTTCGTCCCTGAGTGGAGGACTGAGTATGACTTACCGACCAAACAGTTCCACGAGTTACTGAAATTCGATACCGAACAATTGATTAGGCAGTCATATGGTTTTCCACTTGTCGTAACTTGGTGCGGTTCTCGGGACCATCCCGAACCTAAGCAAAAGTTATCGTCAGTGGTTCGAGCACCTAGCAAGTCTTGGCTGCTCTGTTCTGATTGGGATAGCGCGGACGAATCTTACAAATGATTTGAACTTTCTAACCACTGAGTTCCATGTTTTCAGTGCCAACAGCAATTACGCTGTACTATTCGGCTAGGTAATCGTAAACAATCAAAGCAACACACGAATTCACTAGTTTAATTGGCAAACAACCAGATTTCGAAGACAGCACTAAACTTTCCTCCAAGGGTCTGAAGGCCATACGATTATAGTGGGAGTTGTAGGAAGTAACGGAAAGGAGAGAAACCGTAAACACTTCATGTACAGCTGCTTAAAGGAATCTTGCGCGGAAAAAGCTTCGCCTTCATTACCACAGAAGAACGATACAACTTATTCCCCTAGCCTCACGAGCATAGCAAAAACAACGGAACATAAGCGTTAGGTTCGATAATACTAATCCTACACACAAGACAAAATGATCACTCTTTCCGTGAAAGATTCCTTTAAGGTATCGTTTTCTGTGGTAATGAGGGCGGAGCTTTTTCCGTGGCAGATTCCTTTAAAGGCAGTGATCACGTTGGCGGTTGCGGTGCGGTTTTGATGACGTCAGTGACGCCTTAATGGTCGTCTATACTTCTCCCGCGCGGTTGGTGGTGGTAAGTTAGGGAATGGGGTAAGTAGAGGAGTCGCCTCCTAACAAAGCTCCCCCCCCCCATCCTCCACCGAAAACGTCCAACGACGTCATCAATACCGCCACACTCTAACCACGTGATCAATGTCTTTAAACAGGGAATAGTTGCAAAGTCCTTAAAGTTCCGTAAAACACGATGAAATCCCCCCTCCTGGAAATCTGATGAAAATTGAAAAAAAAGCTCAAAAAATTCAAAAGATCCTGTACTCTCATTTGACCTAGTTCTAACTCATCTGGAAGTCCACTGTAAGGGTGTAATGGAAAATCGAGAAATAGACCCTGGAATTCTTGGCATTGGCTCATCTTGTACACTTCACCGATACCGTAAAGAATGGATATTCGGCAGATCCAAACAGGGCCCAGTGTTGCGGTAAGAGTAAAGCAACCCGATCCTCTACCACTTCAGTCAAGCTATCCAAGTTGTAGTCCGCTAGGGAAGTGATGTTGAGGTTGTTCAGCCCACTAACTTCAAGGAAACAAACTTCACCAAAACTCTGTGAATGTCATTACTAGTCTCAATGCTCATGGGACTCAATGGGGAGACTAATCGGATGTTTTGACGAAGACATTGAACGGATGTGCACCATCTGAGCACCACTATGTGAATTTGAGACAAAGAAACGCCTCTCTGAAGGACCCGCTTTGCGGTTTGGTAAACGACAACAACAACACAGCATTGCTCTGCTGATGCCCACCTACAGTATTTACTGATTTCGAGTATGAGTTGTGACTTCAAGCCAATCTTGGGTCGCAACTTTGAGTCTGATCTAACAATAGGCAATTTTCTTTCTCATTGTAGTTGCACTGTTTTTCCCGTGGAATGACAAATATGTAAACAAAGCAGAGTATTCGTAGGCATGATTACTTGTATCATTAGGATTTTTCTCATGACGTGATTACACTCGCAAATGGGTGATGAAGCAAAAGAAGGTTCAAAATTTCAAACGAGCGGGCCCCTAAAACAAGTCACAACCGTTCTTTTTTAGACAATTGTCCGTGCCACCTGTTTCATATGGCTTCAAATTGAATGACAGAGTAGGTGGATCAACCATCTATTGAGTAAAGAAGATAGAAAGAAGGGGCCCTATTTACTCGTTGCTGCCTGCTCACTCCTCGAAAAGTGAGCCGGATTTTGATTAAAATTTGTCCATGACTGTGGATTTAGCTAAAAAAGTAGTCTCCTGGGATAGACTAACCCGGAGAACATAAATATCACACTTGCTTAGTCCGAAACCGTACGGAGCCTGCCCACCAAGTGCCGGCGCTAATGGGGCCCACCTGGGTCGCCAAATTTAGTGGAAACTTGTCGTCAGATGCAGTTAGACCCTTAGAACATGCATCTCATATCAGTTTGTTACGAGTGAGCCTGCAGCTTGCTATGAGTGCCGGCGCCAAACTGATGTCACCCGCGGAAGTTAAGCGTTTCGCGCTGAACTGATATAATATCCGTGTTCTACGGGTAGGAATACCCCGCTCTCTCCCCCCCCCCCCTGAGACAATTCTTTTCGGCCAGATCCCCATTCATGAACAAATTCGAATGTTCCGGCTCGGTTCATGAGGTGTGGGGCAGTAGAAGGCGAATAGTGCCAAAAATGTTCGAAAGGAATAGAAAAACAGAAATAAGATAGAAAAGCTTGCAGAACAAAGACGAACTGAACCGGCAGCCCTTAGGCCCTACACTGTAGCCATAAGGCCAAAACGCCCTAGGAGAAGAGTAAATTTATCCCTTGGCGGGATCTTTGCTCCCCGCTCGGAGCATCCTTCTTGAGCAGGTTAGATCAGCGATTCTGTCTACGAGGAGAAAATAGTGACCTCTTCATCGGTTGGCCACTGCAAGTCATTGGGCCAAATTGGACGCAGCTGTCACTAGGATTCTGAATCAAAGAAGAATGCGGAGCTCTTTTAGTGAGGTCAGCGTCAAATGTTTCTTCGCTCCTTTTCTTGAATAAAAAAAGCTATGACAGAAGACTTGGAACTCGCACATACTTTATTTCGGAAACGAGAAGGAAATCCACTGCAGACCACACATCATAAGAGGCGACGATCAGGAGAAAAGTGGCTTTTTTAGTCGTCGTCTCTTATGGTGTGTGGTCTACACTAGATTTTCTTCTCGTCTTCCGAAATCGAGGGTACGTAAAACTTTTAGAGCCTCGTACTAGCTAACGTTGGCAATTTTCAGAAAAGAATAATTTGTCATAATAACGGGATTCAATTTTGGCTAGTTGATGAATTAATCAACAAATATTTGAACTGCTACTTTCGAGCCACTAGGATGGGTTTTTTTTATTATTCTCAAAGACGTAATTGTATTGTAGGGGCGAGATATGTAGCCATGTCTTAAGCAAAACAATCTGATTCCCTGCCGGATGTCCTGAAGGAAGACTTCCGTCTCTCTTATATCCTCTATTATGTTTCTGATATTCTATCCCAATCGTAACTTCTGATTCCTCACCGTTGCTATTGCTGATTCATTTCACCACATAGCAAAAATTCCTAATTTTTAATGTTCAAGGTAAAATTTTTCAAGCCAGAAAGGTTCTTATGATTACTTCACAACCAGTGCCATATCACGCAGCCCTGCTTCGGCTGACATCCTAGTACCTCCATGTTGTTGATTTTTCTCATCATTAGCTCAACATTAGCGGAGTTGGTGTAGTGGCAAGCGGCGCCATTTACCAAGTGCGGACATGAGCTCGCTCCCCCCTCAGGGCCAATCAAGCCTTCCAACCTACCTAATCGTTTTATATGACCACTTTTGTTCAGGATTAAGGAAACGTTGATTTGTACACCATCTGGCTTTCGCACCCCTTTGTGTAGGCCAAATTGCATCCAAATGCCACTAGGTTCTGAATGCAGTAGAATGCGTGTCGCATTTCTAGAGGAGAATGACCAGCGCCGAATTATTTACCATTCATCCTTTACGTGCGAAATGACATCGTATATCGACTTGATCGCATATTTCCCCTTCTTGACTAATATTTTCGAGATTTGTAGGTTATTTTTGGCGAAAATGATGTCGAAAACACGTAGTCCCTTGCTTAACTGCTTTATAACACATGCATATTCGTTTCAATATGTAACTTACACCAGCAAAAAGATGATTGATGTTGCATGAGTGTAGGTTCAGTTTAAAACGGAATGTTGCTGAATGTGCCCAAGGAATCGGTAGAACATGGAGCCAGGAACGTTTTCTCGATGTTTGTGACTCGAAGCATCCGCTCTTGATACACTAGCGCCGAAGGTTCCACTCAAAAGCGAAGAATTGGCTGTCTTCAATAGTCAGAAGACAGGCGTTTCTGAAGAAGCCGAATTTTTACCCCACCTGTAAGCCTTGGTGTGGCTATGTGAATGACGATGAGTATTCCTCGAAGAGGTACATACGTATTTACCCTGGAAGGAGGGAGAGGCTAAGCTGTGGGATATTTATATGGCCGTAGATGGAAATAGTAGTCAAGAACAGTTCAAAAGATGAAATAGCAGTGAAACGCAAAATTGCAGCTACAGTACCTGCGCACAACCTCTGCTGACAATTTAAAAAAAATTGGGAGCAACTTCGTGGTGTGGCAGGAACAAGGGCCGTGGGCATGACACATGCAGGGGAGTCATGCCCATACTTCTAAGCCTGTTGTCAGGCTTCGCGAATCGAGCAATTCGCTAGCGTTCCCGATCGCGTCGCGGCCAGCGAAGCGATGGATTAACTGGTACCGCAACGCAACCGCGAACGCTAGCGAATCCCTGCTGGCGAGTCAGCGTCGAATCGCTCGATTCGCAAAGTCTGACATAGGCCCAAGGTGGTGGGGATGGGTTGAGTCGTACTACCGCATCCAAATCCGTGACGCGCATGCTCATACTAGAAAATCTGCACAATTTTTATGTACAAAATTGTTCGCGAGATTTTAGATATCTTTGGACCCGTATGCTAGGGTGACGAAAAACCCTCAACTTCGTTCTCAAAGACGTAGTTTATTACTTTCAGCTTATATTTTTTAACACTCTCATATACATCGCATCAGGCCCTTTATAAACGCGATCTGTTTGAAATGACCAAAAAATTCAAAGGGGAATTCCGTCTATCGGCCTACAAGGAGAGGGTAGTGTACGGCTTTTAAAATCGCCAAAAAGAACCAAGTTTTCCGGAAAACAATTATTTAGAATAAACGGCGGAAGACATTTGGCCAACCCAATATAGTAGTAGCCGCTCGCAGCAATCCAGTTTTTCTTATGAATTCGTACGGAAATGTGCTGCTTCAGTTTGGTACCGTACACTTCGAAATGTTCAGTCGCATCAATCAACTGACTGTGACAGTGCCGAATTGCCGTGAATTAAAAAATGCATGGTTTCGGCGCCGGAATGGTCTAATTTCCTTTTGGAACGGCTCAGCTCCGCTGCGAATAATGGATGGTATTAGGCAATACGTTTTTGTTCCCTTAATTTATCAATTTTGACTAATCCGCATCACACTGACTGCTTTGTGAACTGGGATGAGAAAAACTGAAGCGGGCCACGCCCACAGCGGATGCGCTGAACTGGCAGCACTCAGACCGTTGTCGGTGTGCTTTTTAGCTACGGTGCTTCTTATAGGCTGTTGGACTCAAATATTTCACATATGTTTATTCGAGTGGTTTACAAGCGCAGTAAAGTAAATAAAGTGGGTCAAGGGTCAAAACTCTTCATCGATACGATTTTTCCTGTGTTGTTTTCTTTCCCCTATCCAGTTCCCTTTCAATAATGGTTGTAGACTTTTGTAGCCTTTGTTGGATCCCTGAGATTGAAGGAATCATGGCTTATGAAAGAAAAGTTTTCATTCAAGATTCAAGACCAGTTTGAGATAAGAATATTGATGTATTTCTGAAAAACCTCGGTGAACCCATCTGGCTCTTACTGTACTTTAGTTGTAACTTCCGAATGCGTCTCATTTATTATTTTGAAAATCTGGGATCACATCTTCTTCTGAACTTCCATAGGTCACTGCATACAAATGATTCTTACTGCCAAAACTGTAGTTGTTCAGTTGCAGAAGGGTCGAATATGAAGAATGGTGGAAAAGGAGACGCCCTCTGCAGTAAACTCTGGCTTTCGTAGGACATCCCTCTATTGTAAGTGTCGTAGCGCAAAAAAAAACTACATACCTCTTCCCAAGTGCCAGCAAGGTCCCTTGACTTTTCGAATCATCTGTGCTGAGCCCTAACTTTTCTATCCGAAGTGGAGGAAATTTCAAAAAATTACCATATTTTCTAACTTGGCCCTGAACAGGATTGAAGATTACTCGCAACAGCTCTCTCGCATTGCCTTTCGGGCCCAAATCTTAGCGGAACTCTGCTCTTTCCCCCCCCCCGTTCTCTGAGTTATTACGACCCTTCGCCCTTGTCTTTAAGCTCACGTACACGATGGAAGACCCTATAATTGATTATTGAATGCAGTTTTCCCTCGTTTAGGCTGATTCTCGATGTAAAGGTTGGTGTTGGCCCATATCAAGGTTCCATTCCTTTATGTCTCTATCTCAACTTGTCCTCCCTTCAGTATTCTCACGCACATTTTCAAAGTCCGCCACTGTTGCTTTGAAGTTGGCTTTCGTGGTGGCAATTATAAGAGCCGCTTTTCAGCATTCGAAATCGATGAATGAATTTCTGAATAAGAAGTCTTTTCAATAGATCCCACACTGGCGCCAGTCTAACGCTGCAATCCAGTGACGTTCACCTATAGGGCAGCTCAGTTATGAGGGGTGGCTTAGTCTGAGGGAATGCTTAGCACTAGACGCCCTCCCCACGTTTTTCGAGCCGCTCAAGTCCTACCGTAGCTCAGCAGACTGTAAGGATTCCGCTGGTAGGACGATGTGCTATTCCTACTGTTAGTTTAGGGCTTTCACAATTCAAGTCTTAACATCAACGTTATCGAGGCACTTAACACATGAACGACTAAATGACTAAAGGATAAAGCATTTGCCGTTGATTAATCCTTTTTGGGATGGGGCACGCATTCTACTTCCATTTGTACATTCGTAGTGGCGTTTGAGTACGATGTGGCCTATACAATGACTTGCGGGGGCCAGCCGATGTTCAAGTCAGTGTTTTTTTTATCCTCTCAGACAAGTCTGGTCAATTAACCAATCCCGTAGGGATTGAGGGCTTGGTTGGCCCAGGATTTGATCCCCGGACCGCTCGCATGGTAACCTTGCCACTTGCCACTACATCGTTTCCGCCCTTGCATGAAGGATTGCCCCACCAAATCTCAGCCCAGGTGATCTTCGGTACCTTAGCGAATGTGGCAGTGACCCTATCCTAATGTGGTATCTCATGTTCGATAGTTGAAGGGTTTCGGATCCTCCAAGGGGTGCGCACATGCTAACATTAAGAGCACTCTTCTAACTACTCAATTATTGCATAACAGTGACCTATGCTGATTTTGCTAGTCTTAATTTAAGCGGAAATGGAATGAATGCTTTTTCAACGACATCACGGACGATCATCAAAGTTTTGATGGTGGGTCAGTAAGAAAGTTGCATCCGTGGCCAGGCTACGATTTTGTCACGGTTCTCGCACTACTAGGACGCTAACCCTTTATTCGAGCAGTAGAACCCTTGTCCATCTTCATGGTCACATTTACATTTTCCAGATCTCCTTCACAAATGCTTTATACTCTGCGAATCAAGTTGTATGGCTCTTGCACTTCCTATTTGTCTGCTATTCTTTTTCGCAATATTTCTTCTTCTTCCCATCATCAAAGGCAGTGATCGTTTAGAGGGCGGTGCGGTTTCGATGACGTCACTAAACTTCATTTGTAGGCCAGAGCCCCGCGGTGGGGGTATGCTAGGGACCACCTTTCGAGGATTTCCAGCGATGACGTTAATTGACGTCATCAAAACCGTAACGCTCTCCGGCCATCAGCACCGCTGCCAGAAAACTATAAAACCCATACTAATCACCCACACTCGTGAAACCGTCACTACTACACAATCGCAGTACACAATTTTTAGAGTGTTTGCATATGTGCTCCTCCAGTTCTCTCCTAAGATATGTCTGGAGCCAGCATGCTTCCAAGTATATCCATTTGCTCCTAACGATTTCCCATTACCACTTACAGGGTTCAAATTTGCCGTGGGCAGGCTTTTAGCAAATGTAGCCTGGTAAACTTTTTTGTTAGGTCGTTACCTCTTTAGCGCAAAATACTGGCGTGGCTCCAACCAACAGAAGTCCAACTAACGAGTACCCATAACGACCCCTCTACCATTGGCAGTGCACACAAAAAGTGCTTCGGACGGACTTCTAATGGGAATTAGCCGCATGCGCCTGGTAATGAATAGAGATGTAACCCTCTCGCATTTACAGCGCTACTTCCCACTGGCTGGAGCTCCTCTGGTAGCCATTTCCTGGATTCCTTTTTTTCTGCTGAAATATCAACATGATAGGCGGAAAGCACTTAGCAGCTATCAGCTGGAAGCTTTTTTTGCATCACTCATGTTTCTTGTTGAAGTCAGTGTCGTTCGACTTGTTCGCTGATGCTTAGGGTTGTGTATGTGATTGGCACTCCGAGTAATGGTGAGGACATGACCAGCACATGAATTATGCCAACCATCACGATTCTCAGTTATTATACGTCGTCAGCGTAGCCTTGGTTCAGGGCATATACCAAAGAACACAACCTCATCTCAATTTCGTCCTTTTAAAACGCAAATTTCACTGTTTAGACTGCCAATAGCCGAAATGGAGGTTGACGTGATTGAAGTTCATTCCTCTAAAAGGCCTCCCTTCTTCCCTTGGTCCCTGAAAAATTCCATCATGTTGACGTAATACACGTGTCAGCGAAAGCCTCACCCATTACTCGATGTGTCACTCAGAATCTCTGTTGAGTAGGAAATTAGTTCTTGTGCCTTTGGTTCTTCTCTTGGACCATGTTAATAGACTTTCCGTCTTCACCTACTCACTATTACCAATATCATGTCCGCGAATAGCCTCGAGGCTAAATGTAAATAACCGAGCTTAAGATCCTCATCCTTACGTGCTCATTACTTTTTTCGTGATATGCCCGCGTTTCCGTGGTTTTGGAGGCACTCAGCCAGTTCTTCATGGAGCTACCTTACCCCACATATTCCTCTAAATCCTCTAAAATATGTTCTGTAATTGGTACGGCGTAAGCATGGGAAAACCATGCTTACGAGGTCTCAAAGGGATCGTGTTGAGCGGAACCAGGTTCCTGCCTTTTCTTTGCATTTTTGGGTTTGACAGGAATGGATATTCTAGGGTTGAAAGTTCTCAACTGATTTCAAATTATCGGGTTTAACCCCCCCCCCCACCTCTCGACTGAAGTTTGGAGAAGTATAAGGATAATGGCTAGTAGTGGGGTTAAGAACGAGGAGTGAGTGGAAGGGCCATATGAAAACCTCCTTCGGCGGGGGTAGGGAATAACTGGCATCAAAATTCGCCTATCGCAAAGCATGACCCGCGCTATCATGGACCGTATCCTATCCTTCCCTCCGGCTAGGGGAACAGAAAATCCCTTTGAATTGTCTCCGCTCTCCAAAGAAAAACCGCTCTGAGAAAAACCCTTGATGTACGTGTGTGTAAAAGCAAGGAGAGTGCACAAGGTAGCAAATGGGTCTTCCAAAAAGACCGGGGTGAAGGATGAATTCGATAGGGCCCATGGTGGGGGAGGGCATCGCCATGCGGACTAGCCTATGAGTGGATGATCATCTTCGGGGAAATTGGAAACCGTTCACACACTCCCCTCCTGGTCCCCCTGACGCTTATGGTTAGTCCTTCAAGTGACTGGGAGGGGAACTTGGCGTGTTGAGCTCTCCGATAACGATGGTTCTCCGAAGGACAACAGCGCCACATGACCTCCGAACTACATACGAGTTCAAAGGAATTCTTGCAAAAAATGTTTGTTTTAAATGATTGATGTGGGGAGCTCTCGAACATCATCCGTCTTCGCTGGCGGAACTTATTGACAGATAAAAACCAACCTGATTGAAGTTCCCTGATTATAATCTATTGGTTCGCGATTTTTTGATAAGTTGACACCATCGAATTGGGGAGCATCCCGATGGGCGACTTTTTCAAGGAAATCTGAACACTTTTAAGGGAAGAATCTGCATAGATAATCCAGTAGCGATCATAGAGATCATTGTTCTGATGCGGAACTGGCCCAGCGGTACTTGCTCCCAGTGCAAAAGTTAGGTCGTCTCTGGACTTAGATATGATCACCGCTCCGTGAATAAGAGCACTTTACATACTATCATAAAAAAAAACTCGGCGCTATCGCATGACACGGGGACATACTTCCGGATTGAGTGTAGAAATTGCTTTCTTTGCCGCCAGTAGCCAGGCGGCAAAGAAAGCAAGATTTGGCGGTTTCACAGCTCAATTGCAAAGCATAGTCTTCGTACCCAATTTTTGCTCCACCTTCAAAGTTGCCCCGCCTCCGAGTGTGCTTACTAGCGTTTCTGATAACGCTATCATCAATGTGCAATTTCTGCTTCATAAGCGCGATTCACATCTTTTGATGCCCTCGTCTCTTGGGGTACCCTCATTCGAACGGCCACTCTTGAGCTATGGGTCACCCGAGCAATATAATGGTCCCATTCCGCGGAATTTCCACATTTTATGGTAATTTCTTCATGGTTTTGACGTACACATTGTCCAAGTGATAGTGTAGAACTCGCTACCATTGAGAAGAATTTTCACGCCTCCCATCATATATCTGAAGGACCTCTCTATTTCCTATGATTAACACTAAATACAAGTTAGTGACTGTTTTGGTAGGTATAAACGTATGCAGTGTAGAGGTACGTGACCGTGGATCCTGAACATATCCCCAATTGGTAATCTCACTCGCCTCCCTGCCCCAGCAAAAACAACTCATTGATCGGTTTAGTGGATGGACAATGAATGGAGACGAATCCGCTTCCATTCCCTGTTATAATACAAATCGGAAAACGGAAAAGAGCGAGTGCGCAGTCTTAGGATGTTTATGACCTCCAGCTCCTTTTTAGTTATATTATTTCATGCTTCCTTTGCAGTGACGGATAAAAATATAGCCATCCGTTCGACACTGGTAAGCCTGAGGAATTTATTGGCTCAAAACATTTATGTCCTACCCCCTTTAGGTTCGGCTTTTTGCTGCATTTTCATATTCGAAAGAGTGAGTGAAGGTGAGGAGCGCCAGTTAGAGCTCCCACCACCCACACGATCGGTCACCGTAAAATGTCTCACTCAAAGTGGCACTTTTATTGTAACCACCCTTCGCACGCTGACCCATTTTTTAAAATTCTTTCAAACCCACTTCCCCAAATGCTGTGAATAGGATGAACCTCGCGTCGGACAACCCCTCCAGACAGTGGGGTCAGTACGGCCGCTGAACCTAGCACTTCAACTTGACACTAACCTGCCTTCATCTACCTCCCTCCCACCTCCTCTTCCCGTTACCGCCTCCCCCTCCGCGTCCCAAACATCCTATATTGCCCTAAAACTGCCGTCGACTGGGTGGATGATGAAAAGGAGTGCTGAAAGAGGAAATTTTATGTTTTACACCGCTATTTCCACCTAACCCTTACCGCCTGATATCTCTCCTCTCGAACATCCCAAATAAGACCCTCTGTCAAAAATCCTTCCTTTGGCTCCTCTGGATATGAGTTTGATGGTAAACAGCGGTGGTAAAGGGTTGCTGCTGAGCACTGCATTTTTCGAAAATAAAAGCGCTACATGCAATACTTTCAAACATAACCCTCCTTCGTAACAAGCATACTGTTGCTGTGTAAATAGTAATTACTTATCAGCAACTGATAGAATCGTATGTGTTTATGAGACAAGCAACACTTTCAGCTTCGCTATGAGAAGCCAAAAGTAGTATGGAAGTGGCCTCAACGAGGGGATATTCGCTTAGCCATCGCTCGTTGTTCTCATCTTGAAGCGGAACTCGCTCACGTATGTACATGCGGAACATACGCGCAGGATACTGCATTAGCATATTGACGACAATGGGCCCTTTATAAATGCCACGCTGAACAATGGAACCCACGCATGGGTCCAAAGTTTTGCAGTCGGTTCATTATGCCCGCTTTCACAAGTTTTTTTGGGCTCTCTTTTCAAACTTTTTTATCCCTTCTTTTGACCTTTTTTCATATGACTTTACAAGCACCACAGATACTCTATTAGGTATTTTACTATTTATTCAGTTATTTGTTTATTTATTTATTGGTTTGTTTCTCAGATAACATTCAGGCTTCCTTGCATGCCCATATGGATGCATAAATGATGAATAAAATAAAATGTTACCAACAAAAAGGAGAAGGCAAGAAAAGGAGATCCAAGGGAACCAGCAGTACTAACGGGACTAACCCTGAAGTAAAAATGCTCCACAGAAATAGCTCTAGGGTAAAGTTCACTGTTCCTACCGTCAACAAAGGACCGTCACGCTTGATACAATAGTTATCCCAAGGCATTTCTGCTTTCCCTTCTCTCTGAGAATGTGCTCAATTCCTTTTAAATTTGTCCACGTATAATAGGTTTGGATGAAAACTTGCCACGGGATACTTTGACCGAAGGACCATGAGTTTTACTCCGTTTTCCACAAAGTTGCTCGGTCATATCCGCCTGCCTCTACACATTTGCTAGATTCGTGTTAGTTGTTGTTGTTTTTTGTTTAGATTGTTTTGTTTACACTGGGTTGAACTGCCTCAGTAAGCAAGTCTTCAGTAAATTTGATGGCCCAGTGTGTTATTTGGCACTTTTGCGCCAGCGAATAGCATGTGCGCCATGCAATTTTGCGCGAAACGGGTCTTTTCCAGGTAAAAACAACGCTGGGGTAGGTTTCCAGTGAAATCTGTCGCCAAGGACAAATTTGGAGAAAAATATAGCCCCATCATCAAAAAATTTGGCATTGAAGGTCCGAGTAATTACAGTACAACTGCTAGTGCTCATTATAGCTTTTCACAGTGAACTGAAGAATCTTTCCAGATTTTTTTTATTAATTCATAAAAGAATGGTCAGTGGAACAGGCCAAAAGTATGCAGTGGTACCACATTTTCAACTAGCAGGGCTCTTACACGTTACAAAAATAACAACCTCTAAATAGTAAAACTTTTAGCAATGTGTGTGATGTGTGAAAAGGGATGGCAAAAAATAGTAATAGCAAACGTATCCATAGAAAAGCACAGCCAATAGCCTCGACGCCGAGATAATTGGTTCCTGGTGCTGAGTCCTGATCCGGGTCCACTTACTCTGTTCTTTGCCGAGGAACTCTCGCCAGTTGCATTAGTAGTTGATTTATGCCCGAAATTTAAAATCTCGAGCCAAATTACTAAGAGAATTTACCATAAATCATTGGACTTTCTGGAACTATAATCGTTTGTTGAAATTCATGGGCGAAAAGACATTACTTCGTTTGAACCAGTTGAACCCTGCTTCTGAACAAATCCCTGCACCTTCGTTCACGCACTCTCTATTACTCACGGATCACAGTTCGTGTGTGTTGAATTTGCGTGGGCGTCGATGTGTCGGTTCCCACGGAGAGCTGTCGTTCTGAAATTAGAGCCCGGAGTTCTTCGGTGGATCGGCCCTCCTCTCAGCTGACATCACTTTGGCAGAAACAACAGTGCTGATAACCTGGGCCCAGCCATCGTCTATAAAGTCTTAGGACACCATGCCTTCCAGCCATACAGAACGCTGAATATTCAAAAAATTTCCAAGGCCATTAAATTCATCCTAACAAGTTTTTTTTCTATTTCTTAATAGCAACGCTTATAACTACGTACTTCTTACAATTTATGCCTTATTATTAGTAGTTAAAGATTCTTATATGCTTCTGTCAAGCTGAGCGTTACTGAAAAAAAAAATTCATTTGAAAATCTCAAAACACTTCGTGACAAGGCAAGAAATATTCCATGTAGAGCAGGTAAGCTCTTTCTGAAGTAACAATTACCTATTAGTTGACGCTTTTAAGAACGTTATCGCAATATCATGCTTGGCTGACCTATAGAGCTGCAAAAATAAAAAGAACACTGGTACGTTCATTTTATTTTACCCTTTTTGCTTCTTAGACGTTGGAGGCGTCATTGGGTGACACACCATTTTTTCTCTCCCCCCCCCCTACCAAATTATGAGAATGAGGTGTGCATGACTGGAATCTCCAGTCTATTCCAATGAAGGGGGGGGGGGTAGTAATCGTAATTACCGGTTCTGCATGAATTATTGTACCAAGTGTCATTTTGGAGTGATAATAATTTGCGCATATGGTGGGAATCCCCGAGATGGAAGAACCTCTTTCTTTGAGCAAAGTGGTGCCTCAGGAGGAGGTAGAAGCCTTTCTGAACCACTTTTCAGAATCTCAACAACCAAAGAAGGTTTAGTCGTAATTTTGAAAGCACGAACTCTTTGCCTTTGCCCTAAAGTCCCGCCTTATTGGGATAGTTCCGTGTTTTGTTCCGAAAATTTTTCTACTTTGAGATCATGGGACGCACGAGTATATGATTAAAAGTTCTCCCTTTTTCACTGCTCACAAGCAGCAACACTTGAAAAATTGTTCAAGTCGCTTAAAATTCTTAACATCTCCGGATCCACCGTCGTGCTCGTTAAGAGGGAATCAGATTACGCGCGCCTGCAGCCTGGGAAGATCATCTCCTAGCAATTAGAATTTGTTTGATGCGAGGAAAATGCGTAGATGTTTACGTTCATAGAGAGCTATGCTGCCCATTTGAGAGATCAAGTCAGTTATTTGCTCTTTGTTTTTTTTTCGATTTTACCTACCCTTTTCAAATTTCCCTCATCCTACCTTTGGAGATCCTCAAAGTAGCTCTGATTAATAAACATTAGGTAGCCGTTTTACTTTCTTAAAAGGCGAACACCGAGAATTGCAACTATTCATACTATTCAAGAGCGAACGGCTGGATAAAAGTAGTTGGGGTTACGCCATGCACTCATTAAGGACAGTAGTGGGATATATTCATCCACCTACAATGGACTCTCCCCCTCGATGTTCACGTGGATTATTTACGTTGAAATCACGGCTTCGCATACTGCGGACTATTATCTTTGCCAATTTCAATGCAATTTTTCTACTTGACGAGGAACTTGTACAGCTGCAGCTCTATTCTGTGTAAAGGACGAATTCACGCTGGAAAGATAACCCATTTCGAATTAAATTGGTGATGGTAAGTGGTACATTAAAGAAGGGAAAACCATGAGAAAAGGCCCAGAACCCGAGAAATGGGACCCCTTCCATGCCCGTTGATTTGAGCATTGATGCGACTAGCTTCAACACTACGCTCTCTCACCTATCTTCACTCACCACGTGTAGAGCTGCGGCGAGTGATCAGATGATCGGTGGGCGTTCACTGGCCCACCGCGCCAAGATTAAGCCCTAATAAGTCGCCGAGACCAACTCCTTTGCGCTTCATTCTGCACCTTCAAGAGGTCCGGGGGTCCCTCAACTAGGTGAATTACTCCTTCTTCGACTTTCATTCTGATCGTGAATTCGTCCTTTAAGGGAAGAGCTACAAGTGTCTCTTGATTATTGTGTACTTACATAAGGTTTAATTTTCGATTTGGAACAACTCTGGATCGATTCTCACGCAATGATTGATTGGCCTTCATCTTTCTATGGAAACGCTTTCTCTTTTCTGCCTGCTGTCTGACTGTAAGACGTATTTTACATAGAGTTATTATCGGCATTCCAATCTTTAATTAATATTCGAGAACTTGTTCAGCCGAGGAAAAAAAGGGAAATGAAGAGCCGTAAGTGAAACGTTAGCAACATGTGAATAAGTTTTCATTCGGACGATGGTTTTTTACTTGCACTATTTAATAAGAACTATAACTATCTCAGCTTTTCATACTTTGATTGGCCGCTTCCGTTCAGAGCGTGTTCCATTGAAACCTTCGTCCGGCACAAGCATTTCACAGTTTATTAGGGGCTTTGAATAGGAACAGTATTCCTGAGTGCAACAAGACAGAGGAGAACATGCATTCAGAATCGGTTCCTTGCATTTCTTCATAGTTCTTAATTCTCAAACTCACCCATGAACGTTCCTATGCATAACTTCCATGGTCCTGCAACGGTTAAACGCGCGCGAGAAATCATCGACAGGGAGGGAATCAACGGTGAGGTCTACGTTGCCTTCCAACAGAAATGGGAAAGTCCTTCTACAAAAAATCATGGTAAGACAGCAAGCACGGCTGGCGAGGCTTTGAAAATGTTTTCGGCTAAGTTGGTCGAAAACATCATGAAACAGTTTCCCTAAGATGGATGACTGGAAAAGAGTCATTCCAACAACCCAATGCGTCATGCCATGGTCACATCGCAATAGAATACGCCCACAAAACGGATCCTACAAAAGGATATGGACCGATGCGTACCCCGGAGGTCGAAAAGACGGCTTCCGACCGTAACAATTAAGAAAAGAAAAAATCTTTATAAACGAAATAATTAAAATGGTTCGTTTCGCTCCTTCCTCAGACGAACCTTATTATTTCGTCAATCCCCGGAGCAGCCAGAGCCAGACTTCTTCAGAAGCGAAGCCACTCCGATTTGATCTTTTGTAATACCCATATGTAGAAGAGGGGCTTTGAAAATGTTCTTGGTTTAATTGGTCAGACACATCATGACACATCATCACACAGTTTTCCTAGGATGGATGAATGGAACAAGGCCATTCCAACTTTTGTTATTCCAAGATTAAACGACTAAATCCATCCCACCGGAACGCTGTAATCAAGAAGCGTAGTCTTTTCAGGAACGAAACGGTATTTCACAAACGCACCCTATCTGCACCATCTTTTCTAGTTATTTTTAGCTTAAATTCTGCAAAGTACCGTGCACAAAATCACGCGGCTCTAAAATATTCCAAAATATTTGCCACATCGCTTGACATAACATACTAAAATTTAGTACAGTGCGATTCAATACCAAAATAGCTATGAGCAAAAGTTTTGTCAGTGACTTTTGTGCGCTACTATATTTTCTTGTTTCCAGTTAAATTTTGGAGATGGACTGGAAAGCTAAGGGAAGCAGGAATGATGTGAGGAGGGGTCATGTTTGAAAAAGTTTACCCCATTAAACTTCGTCTGGCAAACCCTATGTCTGATCAAGTCAGACGAGACAGTCGGTCATATTCAGCGATTTCAGGGAAAAAGAAGGTTTGGAAGGATGGGGCTGTATTTAGGGATGATAAGGAAGGAGGGGAAAACATTTATATGTACCTCTTTGCTCAACGGACATTTGAGCTTTAGGGGGAGTTCAAAGTGTGTCAGGTTGATTTAGGTTCAACGCGACAATATCGGACATAATCAATCACCAAAGGTTGGGGGAGGGGTTTTATCTATGCTCTGCTCCCTCTTCGTGACACATATTCTTGAACTCCATGCACTCATATTGAACATTCTTCGTGTCCATAGCATAGAACTTCCGCATGGGGATCGAGCGCCCGTTTTTCCTCCTTATCGTGACGAACTAGTACATTCATAAGTAATCGTTCGGTTTGCTATCGAGTCGACTGCGTCGACAATTGTTCAGGTTCCTGCGTCTGCCTAATGCCATTTTGTTTTTCGTTTGTTTTTTGGATAATCTCGGCTTTCGTCCGCTTTCTCGCACATTTTGTTATTATGTGACACAATGTGGCTACTCCATTCATCGACGCGTTTTCAAGTGTGATCTTTGGTTTTTCCAACCGCTTTACATTCCAGATATGAATTCAACAATATCAGAAGAAGAGGGCCTGTTCTTCATCAAAATATCATTCTACTCGTCCATTCTGCTCACAATCGTTTCCATTGTTGCACTGGCTGTGAATCTCTATTTACTCAACGTGAGTTAAGACCAATGCGTTTAGATGTTTTCAATTACTATCCCACTTTCAAACGCAATTTATAAGCCTCTTGTTCAGAAACATAGCCTGCTTTCCGCTGCTGTAGGGGCTTTCATAGTCTGTCGTCCGATGCATAGATGCATTAGATGCATATCGATCGTCCGGTCGGATCGAACGAATGAAGTACCTAATGCTGTGCGAACGTTGTGGTCGGGCGAGCGCTTATGAGAACACCCGGTCAAGTTCCCCATCCTCGACGTGATGCCATTAGGCTGTACTCCCCCCATGGCGTGGCCCGGACAATTCTCTTGTATCTCGCATTTGACATCATGGAAAAAGGTGGGTCGAATTCAACGTAGGCTATGCTGCTGAGGGAGTTCCTCAGCCGGCGCAAATCCACCCCCTCCCCCCTCAACCCTCAGATGTAGCCCCAGAAACCCTTCAATTTCCAAATGCCCATTTTTTTGTTTTTCATTAACACATCAGGGGAATCTAGTGGAACGGTAAGTTCCATGGAGATTTCCCATATTCCTATCATCATTAGCTCGATCCGTATTACATAACTCCCTCCAAAACGTGAAATGTTATTTGTTGATGGATCCTCGGCAATCTGGTCATAGGAAGCGGTAGCTGGTCGTTTTGTGCAGAGTATGTGGGAAAAATAAGAATCTTTAAGAGTATTTTTCGGGCTTGGCAATTACTGTATTCTACCGTACATCAACCTCTCTCCCTTCAACACCGCCTATTCTGGTCATCGTCTGATTTGTGTTTCTTGGGAACGTAACTTTTCTAGGTAAGAAGCACAGGAAATGGGCACAGGGCGGAATGTATTGATGTAGTTGATATTCGAAAATTCGTCCGTCGTTTAAATAGATTAGTAACATCTTTTTTTATCCGGCGGCCAAGTTGTGTCCAATGCAGACCTCACAACACAGGTGACGACGGCCTCTAGGTAGTAATTCCTGCTCATAAACCGACGAGCCGATTGCAGCTGCATCCTATCAATTTCCACTAATCACAGCTATCACTTACCAACTATCAGCTATCAGAATTAACCACAGTTATTGGATTGACTTGAAGAAGTCGTCAATTGTGTTGTGGGATCCGCAGCACAGTCTCCCAGACCGCCGGATAGGAAGAGTACATGTAGCACCAACGTTTCCTGCAATCGCCAAGCCTTCGAGCTGAATGGAGCATACTGTTGCTGTCCCAGCTCAATGACTCATGCTAAGAATGACAGAAGGCGTCTTGGCACCTCCAATTTTTCGAAATAATTGCTTGGTTTGCGATGCTGTGCAGGATAGCGCAATTATCGCTAAAGAGTAAAGACAAGCCGTAATTTCATGCCTGCCACGTAGCATTATTCTAATCGAACAATAATTGGCCATCGTGCCACCCCGGAATAAGTTGGCTTTATTGTTTAAAATGTTTGCAGGGTGTTAGAGATAACGATCATATAATAATCTCGGCTTTTGCTAGAGCACAGTACTTCACAGTACTTTACAGAAGCTGCGACACCTGTGGTCCTGCAACCAGCAAAAATGCGCTTCTTCATACATTCAAAACCTCTCGTTTCTACAAAAAGCTGGTTGTGAGAAAAACTTTTGCCCCAGACGGGATTCGAACCCGCCCCTTCTGTTTACGATTGGCGGATAACACAGCATTCTTGTGAGACATTAGCAAGGCGAACTGCGGCCAAAAACAGCAGTTAACAAACATAAGCTGTCTAAAACCTCTCGTTTTCCTTTCTTCTGAGTTTGCAAGTTTTTCTGTTCCGGGGTAGACTGGTGGTTTTCGAGGTGAAGTACAGGATTGGAGTTTTTTATTCTTTGGAAGAGTGCCCTACGGCCTAAGAACGGCGAACATTTTGACCACTTTTGAGGATAAATCAGTTTAAATTCACATTCGTTTCTCTTGTTGCGAATGCTAATTCTAAAAATAGTAGGCTTTATTCTATTCTTTGACCAATTTCAGATGTTTTCACTCCTTTTCTTTTTAATTTGATCTATCACTTTTTTGATCATTTTTCATGTCTTCAACGCTTCCTTAACCAGGCGTCAAAAAATTTGCCAAGGGAGGCTTACTGCTCATAGTTTTTTTTCACCGTTCCACATCAAATTTTAGTTTTCAAGAAGTCAGTCTTCCAAGTTATTCACTATGGTTCAAAAACAAAAGGCAAAGTCTCAAGTGATTTTTTTCATGTTTTTTGAAAAAGATGTGTCAACAAAATTCAAGCAACAAGTAATCAAATATGACAGTAAAGGGAAAACTGCAACTAGAGGGAGTGACTTGCGGGTTGAAATATCAAAGTTTGAAGTATCCTTGTCTACTCTACTATGTTTGTTTTATTAATTTCAACTCTGATGCTATTTCTTTCAGTGTTCCCGCTATCTACGGAGGCCGATCGGGGTGAATTTACGATTGTGCGTAAGTCTGACTGCGTCAGACGCTTTATGTGCATTCTTCTATATCCTAACCTACCTGATCAATGTTATTCTGCCGAATTTGCTTTCAAACTGTTGGTCCTTACTACTTGAGGTGAATGGTTGATATTTCAGTAGCATCATTGGAGGGACGTACCTGTTGGTTATGAACTTATCTTTACTTTAACCTTACTAATTCAGGTGTTCAAGTTGGCTACGTTTTTCGCATCCGTTTTCACTTTGTTAGCGCTGGCATTGAATCACTACATTGGAATAGTCCATCCATTGCATCGGTGAGCTTTTAGCATATTTGCGAAGATACGTGGAATGAAAGGTGAAAACAGTCAAGGTTAGCATTGGGAACTCAACGTCTGACTTTATGGTTAGCAACTGGGTGAAAATGTTCATTTTCTTGGACAGGTTTTATTGAGCGCTTTGAATGCACGGGTCAGGTGAATAAATTCCTCCCTTAAAGGAATCTTCCACGGAAAGACTGCTCATCCTTTCCTTATGTACAGGTGTTGGGCATGGTCATTGAAGGCCATGTGCAAAGTTCAAAGTGAAATTGATGAAAACCCCAAGAGAAACAGCCCCTGGAAAGACCCATCTGTGGGACCGGATTGGACCAGTACGCGGGACACGAAGTGCTTCTGTGCGTGGCAGGTGCGGATCCACGTGTCAGTTTATGGGAAGGGCCCAACATGAATCCTGTTCACGTTCACGCTTTTGACACGTCTGCACATGTTGACTCCACGCCGTTTTTGTAGGAATGGAGGCGATGTTTTTCCGCGGAAGATTCCTTTAAGTAGGATAGAGCAGTACACCAAGTTAGGAGATTCGCCGTTCTGAGGCTCAAAAGTGCGCGTCAAGTGTGCTACGGTGCTTCTAGTAGTGCCAATAACGTCTTACGTTACCTTAGATCCGTAGATCAAAAACAAAAAGTTCGTATGTTAAGGAACGTCCAGAAACGTCTATCAAGCAGCATACACTGACATTAGAAACGGATCATCGCCATAGGACCTAAATACCCTGTATCTCACTTCGCATAATCCAGTTTGAACTGGTTGCTCAGTAGAAATGAGGCGCGTCTGCCTAACCAACGAGCTCAGAGGCTCTCACCCTTGCACGAGATAATTTTCTTTCAGACTGTGACACCCACGGAAACGTTCGATGTCTACTAGCTCTGCTTACTTTGTGCCTTCAAACAGTCTCCTGTCCATGTTTTGTACAGTACCGGTGGTTTCGAGCTCCGATCGCATTCGCTTTCTTCTCCAAAGACGGCTGCAGAGGCATGGAACTAAGTGAGTGACTTAATGTTTTTACCCAACGAGTGCTTCTTCATTCAATTAATACCCTGTGATGAAGCTTCCGCAGTGCCTTCAGCTAGACGAAATGTTTACTAACATTCTATATCTTCAATTAATTCATTGCAGCCATGTACACATTACTTTAAAAAGTCAGTCATAGTTCGCAGTAACGGGAATGTTCCAGTCATTTTTGACGTAGAGGTTACAGTGATGGCGTGGGTAGACCGCGAGGCGCTCAAATATTGCGGGTAACTGTTGCTTTACTGTTTCCTGCAGTGCTCCAACTTGTACTGGATTACATAGGGGAGGGGCGAGGGACAGAAAAGGGTCACTCCTCCACATTCAAAGCAAAATTATTATAGTTACATTTTGCCAAATCCAAATTGAATGAGCCCAGCCAAAAATTAAAGAGCACAGGCTGCTTCAGGTTGGAGAGATTACGGTAGGGCTCCTTGAGCTCGACAGTGATGGCAGATGAAATCATATTCTGGAGACTTCTATTCTGGAAATTCTGGAGAGAGCAATGAACAAGGGCCTGCATTTGCTTGTGGGGGAGAGGGACATCCAAGTTTTGTTTTGCGTAAAACTTTCATCAATAGCGGCACCCTTTACGACGAAAAGTTTCATGATGTGCGCCATGGGCAAAATAAATCTTTTTTTGCATCCCACCCCTTACTATAAAATTAGCCAAGTTTATGGTGTGCTCAATGGGTTGTGCTCCACTAAGTCCCAGGGCGGCTTCGAAGGATGGTCACTATTCAAGACGATTCCAACCGTGCCAACACTTACGTTAGTTGCGATAAACCATTCTTTGTTCCTGAACTTATAATCTTGTCTGCAAAAAATGTGGCATTGGAATCTTACTTACTTATTTTCTTACATGGCTCGTCAATTTTCCTGTCTATTCTTCCGTCCAAATTTCATTTGATCTGCACCAGTCTGAGCGTTCTCCATGAACTGTGTTGTTGCTTTGCGGCGTTAGAATCAGGACCATGAATATTCATAGTATTCCTCTATACTTAAGTTACCGTTACTTTCACTTTGCAGTAGCCCAGCTCTTACTGCTCAATCTAATACGGGGTCGAACTTGCACTTGAATTGCATCAATTGCCGTTTCAGGAAATGTCGTGGTGCGATGGGTGCTCGTGGCACCGTTTATACTGTTCGTACTGCTTATTTCGTTCCTTTACCTACATATTCTCGTTCATATGCATAACGTCTCCAAAGATCCTTTGCTGAAGGCGAAAAAAACTAAAAGAACGACGAATCGTAAGCTTCTCGTCACTATCATGCTTCTAGCCGGATCCGCTTGCCTTGGTGAGTTTTACGGCTAGAATTTTTCGTGAATATTTTTGACACTTCCTTAATTCTTCCACGTTTGAAAAAAATGCTCTAGAGCGCTTTCGGCTCATGCTTTTGTAGTAACCTTTTTTCGGCAATTTTACGCAAAACTTAATGTAGAAAGAATCAGTGCGAAGGGGGGCGGAGAGAAAACCCTCCGCGGAATTTAAACAGTCTTACTTTTCTTAACGCGGATTCAAAACCTTCAAATATCTTTCCAACCACGACCAATTTATCGCATCATGTGCTCTTGAAGTGGTTTCAAAAATGTGTTACCAGCCATGGTTTCAAGCCTCAGCTCGCGTAGCTAGTTCTTTAATTGTGTTGCTAGGTAAGCACACGTGCGTTCGCGGCGCGTCTCGGTTTTTTTGAATCGATATACGTCGGCGCTGCTTTGAATTGTATCTCTGTGGATAATTTTATCTTTTGAGAATTTAGAGCTTCCTGGTTTTCACTATCTGATACTATCGATTGAATAAATGCTTAATAGTATTTTTGCAGGTTGGTTACCGACAACCGTGCTCTTCGTTCTAATATGTGATAGCTGCCTATTTCAGCTTCCTTTACGGGCAACTATGTATCTCCGGTACGGACTTAATTGAGCACTTACACTATTAAAATTTTTATGTTGTTTCTTTCTCATTTATACCATTTGTGTTTCAGAATTCTAAGCCATTTGCTCAATGTGTTGAAATTGATCGCTGACGCCTTTATTTATGCTAGCCGTTTAGTTGAAATCCGCTATGCCATGTGGATATTCCATGCAAGTGTTTATAGGAAATTTAGCGGTAAGCGGTTGTCTCCAAGCAGGTTTCAGTTGTTATGGAATAGAAGTGGAGTTCTCAGGGTTCCTTGTGAGCGGTTTCAGATTACCTGAGTCCAATCGGATCATTCATTCCAGTAAACCATATTAAACTTTTTCAGTAATTGCATAGACTTTGACGTAAAGGCTTACTTCACGATGAGATCAGATATAGTAATCTCTCCAGTGACTTAGTAATCCATCTCCATCTATGGCTAGCTCCCTCCTATCAGGCAAATTCGACCCTTAGTCCCCTTCGAGGAGTCCTGAACCGTGATCGACAGGAACGACTTCCTCACAAGTGCTGATATTGTCTAGGAAGAAGTGCGATCATGAGTGAAGTATCATGAAGCTTTTCATAACATGGCGAAAAGTAGTGAATACTGTCCCCGAAGTCAATATACGATCCGTTGTAGAAATATCTGAAAAAAAACAGTGCTGTATCGGCCATGTATATGTGAACTAGAGAGCGGAACTGGTGTAGTGGCAAGTGCCGCTTGCCACGCGGTCGATACGACGATCAAATCCTGAGGGGCTTGCCGTCAAGACCAACCGGCCTTTCTGCACTTCAGAGACGGGTAAATCTTACCAGAGCAGGAGGGTAAACACATCCAATGACTTGTACACCAGCCAACTACTTCATGTAACTGTATGAGACAGATCGCATTCAAATACTTCACCGATGTTGAATGGTAGCAGTGTGCGTGGCGCGGACCAAGAAGGCCAGTAGTGCAGCATGATTTATCCCTTTTTGCCTTTCATTTTATATATTGGAACTGATGTATGCGCGAAATGTATCGAAAAAGCTATTCCTGAGTAGTCCGTTACTTCAACAATTTTCGTTTAGGTATCTTTGGTTGGAAACCGCTGCCGAGACCGATTCCACCAGAATTCACACGCTACCTCAGCGAAACAACTGAGCATCGATCGATTCGAAATAAGAGGGCACATGTTATACAAAACAAATTCTCAGGTTTGTAATAGTCATTTGAAATTGCTTGATGGACCTTCCTGAGCAAGCTTGCTCATACCCATCCAATTTGGTATCTGAACCTCTCCAGAGCACTTTTTCATTCACCGCTGTTCGCTCTTAACGAAGATCTATGTATGATGGGCTCATGATTTGTGGACGACGGGGGCAGAAAATTTATTGGAGTCTGGCCACCATTTATTCCATGGCCAAGTTAGCTTGCGATAAATCTTCGGTAGGTAAAGTATTAGAGCATCGGCAGCAGCGCTGCCCATCGCTCGTCCCACTGCCGCGTCCGCTCCGCGGTGACGTCATAAGATGCACCCGTGCCCGCACCGCCGATGAGCTTCTTGAGTATGAATACTCCGCCACTGTATTTTTTTGCAATTCAATATAGCTTCTTGACTCGATACTGGTTATTGATGAAATCCTTCAATTTTTAGGTCGTACCATCAGGAAAAGCTCAGTGAATTCGCGTGACGTAATTGACGTTACTACTGTAAGCACTGGAACTATTTCCTCGTTTTTTTGAGCAATTCATACATGAAAATTTCAGTCGCTGTCTCCAAAAGCTCGAGGTTCATTCGACGGCAGGCCGGTGTCTATTCACCTAAGCATCACGGAGACGGTCTAGGAAGAAGTGTCTTTCTGCGTGTCGTTGCCTTAACAACAGGATTTAGATGACAACAATGAAGGGCCACTTTACCTCCACAGCGCCATCCTTGATAGGTCGATGTTGCTAGGAAGACGATTTTACAAAAGTAAACAATGTTACTGTACACGTAGTGTAGAACATCTTACTCTTGTACGGTTACATGAAATGGACTACGATGAAGATAGTCGTGTGAAAAATGTCATCAACGTTGAGTGATACGAAGTGCTAGCTTGGGTTTGCATCCTTTGGTCGATACCTCCCCATTACTGTGCATTCTAGATCGCCCACCATATCACCACTTTGGCACTACTTCTCTTCTTGAAGACTTAGGAGTAAGCGTCGTTTTTGATTAAGAAGCGAGCTGAGGCGCCTTCTTACTCTTTATCTCAGTAATAAGCGCTTTGGGTGTTGGCGGAGTCTCTGTGGCTTATCCGGATCCGATTTTGGGCGGAACGATCCTATTCCGGATCGCTCCGCCCACATGTCCAACATGTCCTTTTTCATTAGTTTTTTTTAAACGTCGAGTCCATAGTGCATACATGGAACTATGCCCTAGATTTTTAGAGCTCCGATGATCGTTGCCTTTTCGACGGGTTATCCTAGATGGGGACTTTTTAAAGTTCCCATCTAGGATATCTAATTATCACCCCCTTCTAACATTTAAGTTAGATCACTGGACAGTTTGTTCTCACGGTTGTCGACAGTTGATGGGTCCACAACTGTAGAGATGGAGCCACTTTCGTGACTGAAAATACATGAAAAGGTGGTCAGGGGTAATTTTCATCCATGGGCTTCACAAGCACGCCGTTCACTCACGCCTACAGTCACAGGACCTGTGTCTCGGTTCACGCTATGCTCTCTCGTCTGCACCTGTTGTTATCTCGCCTTGGAGCCTAGTGTCTTTTAACCTGCTTGCCTTTCAGACTCTCCCACCTCCTCTTAACGATGGAACTTATTTAAGATGTTTTTAATGGTTTCTTTTGCTTTTCTTGCACTCATGTCTACCCCGTTTTGCTGTAACGGAACGTGTCTTGAAAGAAGACCATTCATCGGGGAATCACTGATAGGCGTTTGTATCGGTCTGGGATCCTAGTCCTTCTTCGAGCACTGTTAGGACAGAATCCCTAAAATTCAAAACGCTGGTGCTTTTACAAACAAGGCAATTATTTCCTTACCGTTGCTGCCTGTGACCACAAGTCCTTGCAATACTTTCACTCAATATGTACTATAAGTGATGCTCCTTGTCCTCTCCATTGTCATCCATTCGATTCCGATGTATTGCTATAATTTGTCGCCAGCAGTTATCACTAGAACCTATCGTTTATGATGTTTTGCACCTCAGTGATTGTACAGAAGTTGCATGTGTAAAATATCGATTTTATATGAATTTTTGAGCCGCCGACACTACAACCTGTAAAACGCAGGCTTATGAAACAGCAGTTTTTTACTGTAAAGATCTCACCAAGTAGCAGGTACGGTAGTGGTTCACCATTGTCACGATGTAGATGTCGAACAGAATACACGGGTCAATCGACGTTTAAATTTAATACCATCTAATCATGTTCCTTAAGAAAACAAAACTTTCAACGAAAATTCTTCATATACACCAAGAGTGTCGCGGTAAAATCGATACCTATACATGGTGTGCCAATCGTTGTGCCGGTTAGTAGATATGCATTTTGGCGGTAAAGGGTGTCTGTATAACATCAGTATCGAAGAAGTCCTCCCAGCATAATTCCAATTTTTCGGAATTCAAAAACTTTTGTTATCTGAGGTTGATAAAAAGGGTACCCACCAGAAACCATATGAACTAAAGCGCCAGTAGCGATATTGTAGTGTAGCTTACCACAGGGCGATAGTCCGATGACCTTTGCCCGTGTTATCACTCGGTGATTTGCTGCAAGTTTATTCTGTCCGGAATTCTTTGAAACAACTCATGTTTATTCTTCAAAATCACGTCAAAATTACCTTATAACTACTTGTGTGTTACAGTGAATGCAGGGGTGGTGACCTGGCTTCTGAGCGTGACAATGTCTGCATTTCAGATCCAGCTCCCACAGTACTTCCGAAGGCCGTTTTAATTTCTTAGCACACTTCAGCCAGTGCTTTTCCACTTGCAGTCGATTATTGTGATTACTTGGTCATCACAATGTTAACCATCTTTAGCTAGGCATTGAGCAATCATCACAAGGATGTTCTTTATGGGCAGAACACCTTGTCCCAGGCGGGAATCGAACTTCCGCCTCTCGTACCCTGGAAGATTCCATTCAAAGTTATTAAGATGAAGCCATGCATGGTGGTGTACCTAGTACACAACTGCACGGACAAGGTGCGAGTTCGTTCCGGAACTGGAAGGTTTTGACGGGTGTGCGTCATGTGGCGCGATACCATTGGCACTGGAGCGCACAGGCCGTACTTACCACATCCTGCTGTGGCCGGACAACTCGTCCGCGCAACACATTCTGTCCCGTTCCTTTTTGGCATTAGGCCAGCGAAGCTATCCGCCCTTTTTTGTAGGTTGTTTGAGATTATCAAATCGATCAATTTCTGAAGTTTAGTAGTTAAGTGATACGGACGAGTTGTCCGGCCGCAGCAGGATGGTTCAATTGCTGCCTGTGCGCTCTAATGCTAATAGGATCGTGCCATATGACCGCCTCTCTGTTTTGTCTATAGCCCAGCATCATTATGGCAACTTTCACAGGGAAAACTGCTAAAGCAGCACTTGACAAGAGAAAACGCTCCATTCAACAATATTCTCTTCAATATATCGTTTATCATGTCCGCTTCGACATTTTGTCGCCCTGTAGCCTCTCTTAAGTTACTTTAAGGTACTCTTAAGTAGTCGTAAGCCCACGCGTACTGAAGCGTAAAATCTAATCTCGTGCTAGAAGTGCTTCATGCAATTGAATGAAAATGCACTATGAGGAACGTTTCTCTCCAATTATGTAGCGGCTTAATATTCGAGGAAAACGGGGAGTAGCATCGATTTGTGCGCATCCTTCTTTTATAGGAATGCCGTGTTCATGTTAATAGAGCCTTTATTTCCTTCAGTAACGGTTCTGAAGTTGAAACGATGAATAACTTAATTTAAGCTTTTTATTACAATGTAATGTGTTCTCCACCGCGAATAGTATCTCGGAGAGATGTATCATATCAATCACATGATCGCCACACCAGTCTGTCCATAAAACGCTATATGTATCGCTCTCAGGTTTTGTCGATTCATTGCTATTATCACATTTGTGCACCTATGGATAAAATTGGCGTTGGGTTAAGTTGGGGGGGGAGGCACTCCATTGTGCTCTGCAGCTCAACGAAAAGGAACAAAATAAGGGTGCTGATATCACCTGTATCATCATCTGTTGTCCTGCTGATCGTCGATTTGCTCGAGCGGGCGCCAGCAACGCTTCCATTCGTCCCTGTCGCGTGCTACAGTGGTCCAGTGGGTCCTCCTCGCTCGAGGGACACGAACCCATTAATTCCCTTCGTTCAGAGCTTTCGTGAAGAAGTATGGCCATCGGGCCGGCAGTCGTCCAGGTGTTCCTTTGACGTCCCAAGGGATTCTGTCAGTCACCGCTCTGGTCCAACGGTCATCGCAAAATCGCATGACGTGTCCGGTCCACCTTATCTTCGATTCTTTGGCAAAAACGGCAGCGTCCCTGATCTTCGACCGTTGGCGTAGTTCGGAACTCCGGGTTCTCTCTGCACTTCTTGCGTGTATAGGGTTACTCTTAGCATCGTCCTCCTGCTCTAAGAATAGGGCAAATGTTACTGCGGACGGCGGCTATGGGTCCCCTTCCTTGCGAGGAATTTGATATTTCTTCATTTACTACTTTCAGTGTCTTGAAACAATTGAGGGTCTGGAATTGCATCTGTGCCTTAACCGTCTAGGTTTTCAACTATGCTAAACTTGATTCTCATTGGTCAGTTCAAGCCGAAACTAGGAGCTTGGAAATGATGTCATTGAAGTTGGCGATATTGCCGAACTCAGCTGGCGATGCTGGTTTTGCCCGAGCGGCGCACTTTCCTGCCATAATCACGCCATACCTGACCGCCGTTTTTTCCCCTTCGTGAAGTTCAATTTCCCCATCAGTCGGACTTGCCTATTTAGTTTAATTCCATTCCTTTCTGCCTTCCATCAATTTGCATTAGTGCTTCATGAAAAAAGGAAACCTTCACTACTTGTCACTTTACCTGCTCCCTCGACATTGACACCAGCGTTTCGTCTGAGAATAGTATTCCTAAAATTAAAGATTCATACGCTTCATGTTATCGTGACTAGCTGGTCTGGATTCTTGCCCCCTCGCGAGTTTGTTTTCTCGTTGTGGCACTCCTCGTTGCAGTACTTCTTCACGGCACAAGGAAAGGGTGTATTTATTTTCACCGTTTGGATTTTTTTAAATTTTCATTGGCGGTCCACCTCGCCAATCCGCTTCCATTTTCGAGTGCAACAGCTACATCCAAATGATTATGAAATTTGTGTAGTTGTGTGATGTGCCTCACTGCAAAACACCAGAGGCGGACACTGACAAAGTCCGGCTGACGAAACCACCAATGATTCCTTCCAGAGCTTCTACCCATAGGACTACCATTGGGCTTGGGCCATTGCAAAAAGCCCCTAGCCGAGGATGGCAGCTTGTTTCTGGTGGTATCCCTATATTGCTGATTATGGGGAATACGTTGTCGAGCGGAGTGGGGCCGCAGTTTAGGTAGCTCATTCCCCAGCTCAGGGCTGGCCATACGGCCCTGAGCGGAGATTTCGATTTTTTTCATTGTTCAGAATGACAAAGCAAACACTGCCTATGATGATTCAGCCAAGCATTACCAATTGGAAACCAGAGTACTGCCCAATTTATGCTTAGCCACAAGTTCATTTCGGGCTACCTTTGCTAATTTTAGGGAAAACTAGAGGTGAGTGCTGAACTGTAGGAAAAAAGAAGGGGCCAGTACTACAATCTTTAACCATTGCGTTGCGCGAA